TCTTGATGGTGTTGCCTTGGATGGTGAATGTTATGTCTTTGTCATCAATGTTTATGCCCATCCATTGTGTTTTGTCAGTGTTGAATGTGAGGCAATCTTCGTGGGCTACGCGAGAGCATATGTCGAGGAGATGTTGCAGGTCCGCTGGGGATTCAGCCAATAATACGATGTCATCGGCAAATGCCAAGCATGAAATTTTAGTGTAGATTTCTTGGCGCTCAGTTGTTACGGTGGAAAGACGTAGCCCTGGTCCTTCTCTATTTACTTGTTCTAGTAGGCTGTTAATGTAAATATTGAATAATGTTGGCGATAGTGGGCACCCTTGTTTGAGTCCAATATTTTGTTGCACCTGTCTAGATTTATATTTGCCCAGTTCATACACTGCCGTACACTCTGCATATAGTGCTTTTAGTAATTTGATGAAGTCTTCCTCAATATTAATTTTTTCTAGCTTCTCCCACAGTCGTGAGTGCGGCACTGAGTCATATGCTTGTTGTAGATCCAGGTATGCCAGGTATAGTTGAGATTTGTCTCTGTTTTTCATTTCTATTGCCTGGGTTAGGGTAAAGATATGGTCACTTGTCCGTCTGTTTGGGCGAAATCCATTTTGCGATTCTGACAAGATTAAGGTTTTTTCACAGTGGTTTTGTAGCCTGCGATTCAGGATTGTATTGAAGAGTTTCAGAATGCTACTCAGTATTGTTATGGGGCGATACGCCCCAATGTCACTTGTTTCCTTTCCCTTTCCCTTGTGAATCAGCTTTACCCGGCTTTCTTTCCAAGTTCTTGGTATTTTTCTGCTTGCCAGAATGTCGTTGAGGCAGCCGCGTAGCATTTCCTTTGCCTCTGTTTTGAATGCTTTCAGGAATTCGTTGGGTATATCATCGAGTCCTGTTGCTTTCTGGTTTTTTAGATCATTTATGCGTCTCTTTAGTTCTAGTTTAGAAATTGGTCCAGTCAGCTTTTCTTCTTCAGGTGTGCTGGTCTTGTCCTTTTTTCTACTGCTGATCTGGGGTGGTGGATCTACTGGATTGGTTTGCATATTTTTAAAATGTTTAGTTATGTGCTGTTCAATTTCTTCTTTGGTATGTAGAGGAATGCTATTTTCAGTAAGTAGTATGAGTGAATCTTCCTGAAGGGTGTCCTTTGGTTCCAGTGTCCTTATGTATGCCCAAAACTTCTGACTGTAATGGTTACGATCCTTATGCAGGTTTTCTTCTTCTTTTTGGAATTTCTGGTCTATCTTTTTTGCGGCCATTTCCTTTACTTTTCTTTTTTGGGCCAGGTATTCCTTCCAAATTACCTCTTTTTCTGTCGACTCATTGGGCGTATGACGGTGCCTTCTGGATAATTCTTTGCGAATGCGAATTTCTGTCTTCAGTTCTCCATCAAACCAAGGTGTGTTTCTGGTCCTTTTTTTTCACTAGTTTTCCCAATGGTTTCTTGTGCTACTGACAGGCATTTTTCTGCGAATTCCTCGTATGTTAGAGGTTCTGTTAATGTTGACTCGAGTTTATTGGAAAATTCATCCAGGCGCTCTTGCTCTTTCACTCGCCAGTGAGCTTTTGTAGTTTCAGGCCGGTTTACTCGATGGGGTTGATGGCGTCTGAGGCACAGTTTCATTCGGTTGTGGTCACTTCCACAGCTGTTTGTTTTGTCTTCGTCTATGTACAGAGCTGTGATGTTTATATCTTGCCTTACTACCTCTTGATTGTAAAGTATGTAGTCTATAGCAGATTTGTTAGCTCTGCGTGACCATGTGTAGGTGCCTTCACAAGCTGGATGGAGGTTTGCTATTTGTAGGTTGCATTGTTTAATTAATTTTCGGAAGCCAGCAGCATCTTTTTCGTGACCATCCAATTCTACTATGTGGCAGTTGAAATCTCCCATCAGTAGTACCGGTTGGCCTTTGTAGGTTTCTTCAATGTCTTTCTTGAGGCATGCGTAAATGCTGTCATTCCACTTTTGTTCCTCGAGGCCTGTTGCCATGTATATGACACAAATGTACAGGTCACGTGTGTCAATCTTTATTTTTATCCACATGTGTTCCTTGTCCTGGCAGTCCCCATTTACAGTGCTTCTCTTCGGTGTAATAAAACCAATGCCTCCACCCCGTTTTTGTCCTTTACTTCTGTTCTTTCCTTGCCATACTAGCCCCGGGAGCAGAGGTTGTTCGTCGTCCCGCAGGTGAGTTTCCGTTAGAGCGTAGATATCTATTTTTTGTCTGTTCACTTGGTCTTGGAGTTCAGCCCACTTGAGTTTGTTTGTTCCTTGCATGTTTAGTAGGCATATGGTGAGTTCTTTTTTCACTTCACTCTGCTTTGTTCTTCTGTTTCTTCTTTTTCTGGAAAGTGGTTGACAATGATCTCTGGAGGACTGAAATTGGGGGGGGGTTGTGCGTATGGTTTTGCCTGCTTGGTTGCTTACCAGTGCCGGTTTCTCTGTCCTAGTTTGCCTAGGGCTGTTGTCATTGCTTTCAGTAGCGTTTGCACTGTCCTTTGATCTGGTCTTGTTGATCGTCTCCAGTGTTGTGGGCGCGTTGGTTGTTTGTCCCATAAAAAAGATTTAATGGCCTCACCTAGTTGGCTGCCAACCTGGTCCGCTGCCTGTTCCGAGTAGTGGATATCATCCAGGTGATCTGCGGTTAGCTGGGCGGCTGCTGACATAAACCGCACACTGGGGCCCAAGGCTGTACACGCCGTTTGAACTGCCGTGTTCCATGTTTGGCATGCTGTAGCAAATTGTTGACCCCTTGCTTTCGGTTCAGGGATGGCACTGACTATGTAGTGGTGTTTGGGTGTCTTTTGGCTCCAGTAAGTCAGTGCCTCGTGTACTCCGGAGGTGGCGCTGGTAAATATTCAAGATAGCGAGCATGGCCAGACCAAATCGGTGTGTGACGGTTAGTTCTAGTTCGAAGTGGTGAGACGCTTCGCGAAAACACTGCGCAGGAAGCCAGAGTGGCACGCATGAGCACAAGCGCTAAAGCGAAAGGAACTTTATTGGCACCAAAAAATTTCCGGGTGGGTAGTTCCGATTGTCAGCGAAGCACCCTTGGACAATAAACACGGCCATTGATAGGAATCTCTGAGGCCGTGTGTGTTTCTCCGCTAAGAATCAACGAGTTGAAGCAACAGATACCGCCACAGTAGACTAGCGCGCTCATTTATGCGATCATAATCGCGTGTGATGCAGTTGTGGTGGTTTCCACTGAAGGTCAGTGGTGGTTTCTGACCTTCCGTCGCGTCAAAAAGTCCGGAAAATTGGACTCCGGGGGTTTCGAATGTCCGAAATTTCAGACTTTCTTATAAATTAATTCTATGGGGCTCGTGGCGGTGCAACGAAGATGTCCGAATTATCGGGCACGTCCGAAAATTTGGATGTCCGAAAAATCAACAGTTGACTGTAGTTCTTGTTCGCATGACTCATTCACATAATGAGTTAACTTTATATTACGTCATTCGCACTAAACACATCGAAACACGAGTGATTTTGATCGGCGCCGATCTCTATCAAAAGTACCTGGCGTGACGCAAGTGCAGTATCATCGTAAGGTTGTGTGCCTAGATGAATATGCTGAAAAGAGGTACGTGGATCGATACCCCGCATCTCCACCTCTTGAAAAGAGGTTTATTGGCGTGCGTTGCGATGGCGGCTCTACGAACAAAGCGCAGTCGGAACTGAGCAGCTTTTTAGATAGATTCTGGCCACGACTGGTGCTAGGGAAGCGAGACGAGCTAAGAAACCAGTACCCAAGCGTTGGCGATGCTGCTTGCCAAAGATGCGTCTTTCTCTCCACAATACATAGGGGCCTGGCTGTGACGTGGGGCTGATCCTTGGCTCGTGTCGAAAAGCTGAATTCAACGACTTTTGTAACCAGCGGATCGTGCAACTCTTCTCACCACTGCGGTTTCCACTTGTGCCTCTTCTGTGCAACGTCGTAGAGTCCTTTCATGTAGTCACTAGACATCGCTCGAAGCACATGTGAAATAATGTGCCAGAAATAATAGAGCAACAAACTGCTGAAGTCTTCTGGGGCAGATCATTCGGAGCACGTCCTGTAGTTTGTTTACCAACAGCATAACAGTCTTGAAACATGTTACATCTTGAAATTTTGTATGCCTAGCCTATATAAGCCTGCATACAACATTTTTAGACTTGTATAACAAAAATAATCGAGGTGCAGGGGCGGTACTTTGTAAGGGGAGAGGACCGATGAGAGATAGGCACACCGGATTTGTCGAGGCTATTCTGAATGTCAAGATGTGAGAAATGTCACCAAATTTGCATAGAACGGGCAAGGAGGCATTGAAACAGACTCGGGCTCCTTTCTATCGACAGAATGAATACAAAAACCTTCTCCAGACGACGTGGATTGGATCAAAGCGTAAGCGCTTGAGCTCGGAGAATCATATTAGCCTGTTTTGTGCCTGGCTTACCTCAATTCTGGGCCGAAAATCACCGCCGAATGAATCGCCGAATTGCGACACTACCTAGATTCCACTCAAAACATTAACACAAAATGTTAGTCATCTGCTATCTTAAGCTCTGAAAACTAATGCCTTTCAATATTTATGTTAAGCTGTACTAATTTTATAGTTATTCTTGTGGTGACAGCATTTCTGAATGCCCTTAAGTCACCTATTAACTGTTTACTCCCTTTCATTCTGTTGTTCGATCGCTCTCGTGTTCTAAGCTAAAACGTTTCTCAAATACCTGCCCCAAGTGATGTGTACATTAAACCTTGAAGTCTGGCTTTGCTGCAGTGCAGAACTTTTTTTTTTTTTGATAGATGGTTTCTTGGCATAGCAGCTCAATGCTGCAGTGAAACCATCTTATCAGGCAGGTCAGATGTGGTGAAGTATTTGTTATTTTGAATACTTTTACATTTGGGATCATTTCAACTCGTGTCGAAGCGAATTCAAATGCCGAAACGTTGGCCCATCCCTCGATGTAGTGTTTCACGAGCAAAGAACCTGCGCTGCCTGCTCCTTCTTGTGTAGGTACCACTTCCCTGTGGTCTTCGAGCGTCACCTCAAGGGGCCAGGGGCGCAAGCAGCGGCGCAGGTGTACTGGCCGACTACGCGCCCTCAGAGCCACCCTTCGTGCCACCTCTGGTGGTGCACTGTATTCGGGAAGTGGAGCGGAGGTGCATCCATGAGAGGGGCCCACTCTACGGCTCGGCGGCGCCACCCGAGGAAGTGGACGCGCTGCTCGGACAGTTGCTGAGTGGCCGTGACTTGCCCGTCCTCGTGAGTTTGAAGAGACTTCTCAATAATGTGAAGTTATGATTCCCAGTGATGCAGTAGTACTGCAGACTTTGACACTCGAAAGAAAAAAAGCACTTTGTACTCAGTGTAGATTCACCCATTGCTCAGTCATGTGTGGGCCGTGTGGGACACTTGGAAAATAACATTTAGGCGATATATGATCGAAAAAATCAATAAAATGCTAAGCGGAGCAGCAATGTTTGTAAGGTAATACTCAAGAAATTACCAAATCACCCATATCAGAAGTGAATTAGGATGGGAAATTGTAGCCTCTTGACGGAGAAAATTACAATAGAAACTTTCTATTCATTGTTTTGTGGCAAATCTGCATTTGTTACGAAAAATACCTGCATAGGCTTCATTATGTCTTATCACATATGTAAGATTGTTAGGCGTGTACGAATAGTCAGCTCTAGTTTCGAATTGAATTCGAACCAAATAGTGATTGCATCGAATAATTTTGAACTATACTGCACCGCATATATCACATAGTACAAAAAAGGCTGAACATATTTGTCATGACCTCACTAGCCTGCGCAAATTTTTTTTTTTAAATGAAACCAAGCATGCGCGAACGCCATTTTGTTTGGTTTGGTTTGAAGTGATGGGGAAGTAGCTTTAATCTGCTGCAAGATTTTGATATCAGTAGGAAGGCACTGGATAACCGAAAAATTAAGTTACATTTAGAAAATTACTGTACTTGCAGCAAATAAGCGCAAATACAATTAGCTGTGGAACTTGACAAATCATTAATGAATGTGAGGGTAATATGTTCTTTAGCCTTGAATGGGGCTTTGCAGTGAGGTGAAATAAACTTTATTTGATTCTGCAAAACCCAATCAGACACCCCCCGCCCCCCCCTCGCGAAGCGGGGGTCTGCCGCACTTGCTAACCGTGCCCATGCCGGTACAGAAAGAGAAGACCATGGCCTTCTGCCCGTTTGCAGGCCTCCTGAACTGCTGAGAGCTGGACTGAGAGCTCAGAGCGTTCAAGGGCCCTCTTCCAGTCCTATCCTGTTGTCACAGAACGAGCGCTAAAAATAGGCGCGCCGCAAATTCTTGCGGTAACGCGCGGAAGAAACGCCGCGAAGTCAAAAGAAACAAAAAAAAGGGAAAGAAAAAGAAAACAAACGGCCAAGGCTCCCCGGGCGCGCTCTCCCCACAGAAGCGTGGCTTCATCGACGAACCTCCTCACCCCACAACGGCGGCCGAGCAAGCCCGCGATTTTTCTAGAACAAAGGAGGCGTGGTCACGCCGAGATGAGTCATCCGACGCGGAGGGCAGTCGAACCGTCTCGCACCTCTCCCCAGCCTTCGTTGCGCATCGCGCCGACGAAATGAGAACTTTCTGGAAGGTGGCGCAGAACGTATTTAATCGAGCAGCCGAGACGAGAAAGCAGGAGGAGACGAAAGTTAACGCCAGAGCGCGTAGGGATTCCGCCGTGTAGTCGGCGAAGGTTTTGGTCCGTAGGGACGAAGCCGGAGATGAAGAGGATTTCCACCTGAGGGGTGAAGGCTCGGGCTACAGGCAAGAGCGTGTGTTTACCGCTATTGAGCGAAGACCCGTGGCAACAGCTGCGGGTGTGAAGCCGACGTGGTTCCGGCGAAGAAGTTGAAGTTTGAAGAGTGGCCAATTGAAGACGGGAGGTTTCCTGGAAGAGAAACTTCGAGGGCGCGGAACGACAACAACGCTGGACTTTGAGTGAGTGATTCTCGGAAGAGTATCATTCAGACTTTTGTTCCAAGGACTTGGACTGAATAGGTTTTATATCTCTTTAGTCTTTAAGTGTCTTGGTTGTTCAATGCATGCGACTGCATTGTAGTGCGTATTGTTGTCTGTGTCCGTTGTTTCAAGTGTGGTTGATTGTATTGTGTAGTACGTTGATTGATTGGTTTGATTGGTGACATATTGTATGCAACTATTGTGGAGTGTGCATTTTTGTGTATTGTTTTCGATCTGCCATTATTGAGAATATAATTTGTTTGTTTATCAACTCTCGGCTCTGACTTGTTCTTTGGGCCACAGCCGGCGTCCGCTGGCGCGCCAAAAAGGACCACTTCTAAATTGTCCACGATTTCGTGGTGCGGTTCGGGGGGCCGATACATCGGCTCTTGGAATTAGCCCGGCGATCGCCTCCCTAATTAACGGGACTGGTGTGACAATGAATCTGGCGTCCGCGAAACAGGACCTTTTGGTGCACAGTGTGTCCAAAGTAGTGAGAAAGAGCCTCGAGTTGTTGATAGTGCTATCGGAACGATTTGGTGTGTTGTTCAGTGTTCTCGTTAACGAGTGCAGGAAAGTGTTCCGATAGACTGATTTAGGCAGATATTTTTTAAACGTGGCAAGGTTTTATTTGCGGGACACAATGGATCTCGAAAAGTTAGTTGCGCTTGGTGAAAGATGGGTCTTTCCGGCGCCGAACTACGGAAGTGGGTCACCCAGAGGGAAAAAGAAGAAAAAGAGAGGGTCAAAGAGGAAAAGGCAGCTGAGCTGGAAAGGGAAAAGCTGGCGGTCGAAAGAACCAAAGCGGAAAAAGAAGCTGAGTTGGAGAGAGAGAGGTTGGCAGCAGAGAGGGCCAAGGAAGAAAAAGCAGCTGAGTTGGAACGAGAGAGGTTGGCAGCTGAAAGGGTGAAAGAAGAAAGAGAGGCAAAGGAGCGACAGCTGAAGGAAGAAAGAGAGCAGCAATTGAAGTTGGAGCTGGAGAGGGAGAAGTTGGCAGCCGAAAGGGCGAGAGAAGAAAGAGAAGCGAGGGAGCGACAGCTGAAGGAAGAAAGAGAGGCAAAGGAGCGACAGCTGAAAGAAGAAAGAGAGGAAAGGGAGCGGCAGCGGCAGCACGAGATGGAACTCGAGCGGCTCCGTTTGCAACAGCGAAGCGAAACTCCCGTCCAAGCTAGAGTTAAAAGCAGCAAACGGGAAGATCATGGTTTCCGCTTGAACCCAAGCAAGCTACTTGTAGCATTTGATGAAAGGAAGGACGACCTTGACGCGTACCTTCACCGATTTGAGACGATTGCGAAGAGCCAGAATTGGCCGGAACATCAATGGGCAACGGCTTTGAGTACTTGCTTGAGTGGTGAAGCGCTCAGTGTGTACGGTAGGCTGACGCCGACCGATGCAGCCAACTATACAAAGGTGAAAGCTGCTTTGCTGAAGCGATTTAGATTTACCGTAGAAGGATTCCGGGACAGATTTCGGACAGGAAAGCCAGCTGATGGTGAGACGGCTACGCAGTATGCCGCCCGACTTTGCCATTATTTCGACAGATGGATTGAACTTTCAGGGACAGCACAGGGGTACGATGAGCTTAGAGAGCTCCTAATTAGAGAACAATTTCTTACTAGTTGCCACCCAAGTCTGTCGCTGTACTTGAAAGAGAGGAAGGCTGAGTCACTCGAAGGAATGCTTGAATTGGCTGATCAATTCTTGGAAGCGCAAGGTGGAACTAATTTGGCCAAGGTCAAGAAGGATTGTCCCGATAATTCGAAGAAATTGGCTCCCGAAAAAAAGAAGCGTGCACCAGAGAGCATTCCGCGATGTTTTCTGTGCAACCGAGTGGGTCATCGCGCGAAAAACTGTCGAACGATCTTTACGAGCCCTACGGCAGTAAAATGTTTCAAGTGTGGTCAGACTGGGCACAAAGCAGACGCTTGTCGGAACGGAGTGAGTCAAACTCGCCAGGTATCCTGTGTGCAAGCAGCACCGAAATCTGATAATAATGCCGTCACTGATGGATTCGTAGAGTTGAAGAATGGGGAAAAAATTCCTATTGTGGGTGCTGTAATGTCAAAACAGCCAACCGGTGTTACGAAAGGAATGCCAACACTGCCTGGAAAAGTTGCGGGCAAAAAGATTACGGTGTTAAGAGATACCGGCAGTTCCACTGTTATTGTGCGGAGAAATTTGGTACGGGAAAGTGAGTTGACAGGCAGAACGAAACCGGTTTGCCTAATTGACCGTACAGTTCGGCTGCTTCCCGAAGCAGAAATTGAGGTTGAAACCCCGTACTTCAGCGGGAAGGTTACGGCTTTATGCATGACGACCCCCCTGTATGACCTTGTCATCGGAAACATCGACGGGGCGCGAGGGCCAAGTGATCCAGAATGTTTGGGAGAAGACCCGAAGATAGAGCCCTCGCCAACACAGCGGCCGCGAGATACAGTGGAGGAACATCCCGTGACGGATCCTACTAGAGCCCAAGGTGAAGCTGCGGCGCAAGAGACAGCGAAGGAGAAGACGATCGTGTCGAATAAGTTCGCGGGCCGAGCAACCGGACTTACGTCGGCACGACCCCAACCGATGGACAGTGTAAAGGAGACGGAGTTGGCCAGCCGGGCAAAATGTAGAGGCATGATCAAGCGGGTAAATAAACAGACAGGACCCGTCAAACGTCATGACCCGTTAGCAGGGTCGGAAGTGACAACGATGGCTGAGACGCTGCCTCAGATACCGTCGTTGGAAACGGTTCGCCGAAAAAGAACAAAGAAAAACAAGAAGAGATCGAGCGAGCACCACAAGAAAGGACGCAAGCGCAGCTCGAAATACACAGGATAGGGGCTGAGGTAGAATCAGAAGGTGTTTGGTAGTGCTGAGTTCCATATGTTGTGTTAATGTTGTGTTATCCTGTGTCACAAGTGTCGAAGTGTTTGTGCTGTGATGTGATGTATAGTGTTGTATAATTGTTGTAATGAGTGATGAAGTGTTGTAGTCGTGTACCTGTGGCTACATTTCATGTGTTGTGGAATTGAACTACAATGTAAGATTGTATTGAGCGATCTATTGTGAATGTGACGAGTCATGAGCGACGGACTATGTTACAGTCTGTGAGAGTGTGTGGTGACTGTTCGCGCTTGTTTGTGTGGTTTTGAATATTATAAGATAATATTCTTAAAGTGGGGGGCAGTGTCACAGAACGAGCGCTAAAAATAGGCGTGCCGCAAATTCTTGCGGTAACGCGCGGAAGAAACGCCGCGAAGTCAAAAGAAACAAAAAAAGGGAAAGAAAAAGAAAACAAACGGCCAAGGCTCCCCGGGCGCGCGCTCTCCCCGCAGAAGCGTGGCTTCATCGACGAACCTCCTCACCCCACAACGGCGGCCGAGCAAGCCCGCGATTTTTCTAGAACGAAGGAGGCGTGGTCACGCCGAGATGAGTCATCCGACGCGGAGGGCAGTCGAGCCGTCTCGCACCTCTCCCCAGCCTTCGTTGCGCATCGCGCCGACGAAATGAGGAGAACTTTCTGGAAGGTGGCGCAGAACGTATTTAATCGAGCAGCCGAGACGAGAAAGCAGGAGGAGACGGAAGTTAACGCCAGAGCGCGTAGGGATTCCGCCGTGTAGTCGGCGAAGGTTTTGGTCCGTAGGGACGAAGCCGGAGATGAAGAGGATTTCCACCTGAGGGGTGAAGGCTCGGGCTACAGGCAAGAGCGTGTGTTTACGGCTATCGAGCGAAGACCCGTGGCAACAGCTGCGGGTGTGAAGCCGACGTGGTTCCGGCGAAGAAGTTGAAGTTTGAAGAGTGGCCAATTGAAGACGGGAGGTTTCCTGGAAGAGAAACTTCGAGGGCGCGGAACGACAACAACGCTGGACTTTGAGTGAGTGATTCTCAGAAGAGTATCATTCAGACTTTTGTTCCAAGGACTTGGACTGAATAGGTTTTATATCTCTTTAGTCTTTAAGTGTCTTGGTTGTTCAATGCATGCGACTGCATTGTAGTGCGTATTGTTGTCTGTGTCCGTTGTTTCAAGTGTGGTTGATTGTATTGTGTAGTACGTTGATTGATTGGTTTGATTGGTGACATATTGTATGCAACTATTGTGGAGTGTGCATTTTTGTGTATTGTTTTCGATCTGCCATTATTGAGAATATAATTTGTTTGTTTATCAACTCTCGGCTCTGACTTGTTCTTTGGGCCACAGCCGGCGTCCTCTGGCGCGCCAAAAAGGACCACTTCTAAATTGTCCACGATTTCGTGGTGCGGTTCGGGGGGCCGATACATCGGCTCTTGGAATTAGCCCGGCGATCGCCTCCCTAATTAACGGGACTGGTGTGACACCTGTGCTGAACTTTGCCCTGCGCAACATCTTCAGCAAAGTGACTTAAGAAGCTACGAGACGGGACTGAACTTTCCTGCAGCCCCCGAAAAGCCAGCGAGTACGGTCTAGTGAGCTTAGAATGCTGCAGGGGGTACCTCCGCTTTAACAGTTGGCAGTGAGGAAAAAAGTTCTAAGTAGATCCCTGAAGCTCTCTGCAAACTCGCCTCCGGGCTCGCCCGCACTGCCGCAGCTCATGATTTTTCGCGCACGTTTGTGGGCAAGTTCGGGACATTTGAGTGAACCCTTGAGCCCACGTGAGCCGGGAACCAGGCGATTGTGCGAAAGGCTACTACACTTTTTGACCTGAGAGTTGTGGCAGCCTCCCTGGAGATCACTGCCCAGACAAACACCCGGACGACAGCCCTGGAGTCTATAAATATTTCAGGACGCAAAGGGTCCTTCATCGCCAGAGATATCGCTACCTGCTCTGCTACTGAAGCAGACACCTTCATTACGGAAGCAGAGTTGAGTACACGGCTGCAATGATAAACGACCATGACTGGAAAGCTTTCGGAGTGGCTATGCTGCGCATGTAGACAAAAGACACCTTCTCAGGGGATTTAGCTACAAAATCAAGCAGGGACTTCACCTGTGCCTTTTGCTGGCTATCATTGTAGTGCAGATGAAGGGCTTTGCAATAGTGCAGACTTCTTTTTAATAATATTTTTACGGCATAGTACTCCTACGCTGCTGTGAAGCCACCTCAAGAAGGGGGGGGGGGGTGCAGTTTAATATGCAGCCTAATCATTCATTTCAAATACTTCTAAATTTATGCTAATTTATATTCAAATCAAAGCGAATTCGAATATTGTATTATTAGTTCAAATATCCAAAGCGCTCAAATATTTGCTCAAGCAAGTTATTCAGAAGAGAGGGTTAGGCTGCATCAACATGTGCTGGGCGTAGAAGCATGGGCGAAGGTTGGTTAGACTAATGTTGGGCTTCCTTTTGCTTTTTTTTTTTTTTTTTGCTTTTCCAGAGCGAACATAGCCTGCCAGTGGTGTGCGGGTCTCTGATGAAATTCCTGGCTACCCTGCGCGAAACAGTCATCACCAAGTCTATTTGGCCTGTGCTGGCTAAGGCGGCTGGTGAGTTGGATGCCTTTGCCTCCCTACCGCTTTTGACATCTCAAACGGCCTTTGCGACTCGTTTAGACTCTTCTTGTGGCAAGTGCTTCCTGCCTACCTTGCTTCACATCATCTTCACTTGGCACTCTTAAAGTTTTCCGTAAAGTGCCAAGCAAGCACCCCTCCTCCCTTTTTTAATAGACCTAAAATAAGTGCTGATAACTGAACAAGGCTTTTCCTCCCCTGCAGCCACCTTTTTTTTTTTTCCAAGATGAGTGTCACTTGTGCAAAAAGAACCACTAAAATGATATTGCTACGTAGCTATTGCTATTGATATTGCTACGTATGCATTGAATACATATCTAATGTTGTCTATTAAATGCTTTATAGAGCATTTCATTAGTAACATAGATGGAGCACTTTTTATCTCAAGGGGAGATGCTACTCGAAGACAATTTTTTTAATATTCAACCTAGAGCAATAAAACTTAAGCTGTTTATGGAATTTTTTATGCTGATTTCAAATATAATTAGTTTTCTTGCAGGTTGCTTACTTTTAGCTCTGCGAAAAGACAAAGTGAAGACCTTTAACCTTTTGCCCCCCTCGTTTCATCCCTAAACTTCCTATACTATTTGACATTCTTAGTTCATAGTGTATCAAACAAAATGTAGAATACAAATATCTAATTAGAAAGTACATACAAATACGTAATAGGCATGAAAAATAATAGACTAAAGAAGTTCATATTTCACTTACCCTAGTAAAAGGTTTACATACATTTTTTAATAAAAAATAAAATATTGAAATTTAAACTAGATAATCGTATTTCTCATGCTTTAGGAGAAAATGTGGGCAAAATTTCATGCAGATCTGAGCACTAAAAGTGCCCGAAAAAGGAGGGGCACATTGGAAAAAAAAAAAGGCAAAATTTGTCTTTTGAGAAAAATGAGTTTTAAAGTTAGAATTGAGTTTTTATTTATGAAAGATGTCTATAAGTGCGATGAAATTTGCTCATCAAATAGAACAATCCTTTCTTGTATCTGTTGGAGTATCGTTTGGGGCATTGTTACAGCGGACAAACAGACAAATGTACAGACAGAAAGATAGACAGACCAAAATTTTTGCGTCAAAGTACCCCAAGAAAGACTATCATCTTTAAAAAAATTAGAGGCCCGTGCAGGACAAGGTAAGTTGGAGGTCATCAGGAGAGGCCTTCGCCCTGAAAGATGGCTCATGATGAAGGGATGTATTTCGCAACTGAGGTTTCTCTGTCAATTTTGACCGTCTCACCTACCTTAGCTTCTCGGATATGCACCTGCTTTCAAAGTACACTAGTGTTCTTGTCCCCATCAAAATGCAGTCTTAGCAATTTGCAATCGAAGCTAAGTCTGTAGTGTGCCAATGCCTTACTTTGTAGCGCTTACGTCAATTCAAGTTCTCCAGCCCCGCCGCGGTGGTCTAGTGGCTAAGGTACTCGGCTGCTGACCTGCAGGTCGCGGGTTCGATTCCCGGCTGTGACGGCTGCATTTCCGATGGAGGCGGAAATGTTGTAGGCCCGTGTGCTCAGATTTGGGCGCACGTTAAAGAACCCCAGGTGGTCGAAATTTCCGGAGCCCTCCACTACGGCGTCTCTCATAATCATATAGTGGTTTTGGGACGTTAAACCCCACAAATCAATCAATCAATTCAAGTTCTCCAGATTGTGCAGAAAAATGACTGCGTTGTTGTCTAAACCATAACATATTTGCTAATTGTTTGTCAAGAAAGGTTACCACTTTAGGCTGGAGCAGTAGCTGCGCTGCAGCACTTCTTTTGGTTTGTCGCGAATTGCGTTATTCTGCACCACTTTAACGACGCCATTGGTGCAAATACGGTTACAACTGATGTCACAAATAGATTACTTTTTGCAGTTTCCTGGTTTGCTTCTATGCACTGTTCATATTTTACAGGCTAGCACTCGCTATCTGCTGAAAGTCAAGTCCTGCTACAACTCAAAGTTGCTTCCTCTTCCTTTGAACGAAAAAGAATTGCATTTGCACAGGTCTTGCTTTAATCCTAAAATACATTGTGCAGGTTTGTTGGGTAATGATAAGTATGACCATTTTTTTATCTTCATAATACGTTATATATGCTATTGGAAGTGGATTCAAAATTATTTGAACCAAATCACTTCATTTTGATATCGCTAGAACCTAAAATTCAGTGTTTTCACAAAGCTATAAATTACCCACATCATTTTCTTAAAAGAAAAAAAAAAAAACGCCAAAGTGCACGGAAGCGAGAATAGGTGCGAAAACAACATGAAGTCGCTGCTGCAGAACGTGCGACTGCAGTTACTGGCTTCCATCTTCACGGTCGGGGAGAGGCTGTGAATAGTTTTGTTATGTGTCCTTTTGTATCTTTATAGTGACTGGGGACGACGACAAGGAGAACCGCATATGGAAGTTCTTGGATGCCACGCGCCAGTTGCCGGCCGCCAACCGCGCTGTGCTGTCGATGCTACTGGTGCACCTGCACGGCGTGTCAAACACGTCGCTTGGCGGCGACGGCCGATCTCTCGATGAGCTGGCCGCCGTGTTTGCGCCCGTCTTGGTGGGCTGCTCCACGAGCAGCCCCAGCGTCGAGGCACAGGAGAAGGACAGACGCCTGCAGGATCTGGTGAGGTTGTTGTGTGCCATGTTTTAAAGGGACACTATTAAAGGCATCATTTATATGGGTATAGCGCACCGCAACAAGGACACAAAAAGAGAGACACAACTAATGTTTTATTTGCGATCACACATGCTATTTCTACAATAACAGCAGACCGATAAAACTTAAAAAAGATCATGTTCAGATACAGCACAGCTCATGCATGCGCCATCACAGATTGCGACAAATAGCTCTCGCCAACGTCAAAGTGAAGATTCCAGATACTTCTTTTCTTTAGCTGATAAAGCTATGGAAGCCAGGCTCACACATTTTTCGTTCATTTTGTCAATCTCATCGGCTTCAATGATTTCACGCCTAGTTCTGTCACGGGCCCTATAGAGAATACAGTTGTTTTAAAACACTGGCATGCAACCGCACCTCTGACAGTGAAGGGCCAAATGACCAGATTCAGGTTTTTCTACGTTGTACTTGTGTTCCCTAAGTCTTTCGTTCACACACCTTCCGGATTGGCCTATGTACACACAATCACAAGTTAAAGGAGTGCAATAGATAACACCACGACAACAATTTACAAATTTTTCCCGGTGCTTCTTTTTCCACGCTTTTATAGCTTTGTCAGCTGAAGAAAAGAAGTATCTGGAATGTTCACTTTGGCGTTGGCGAGTGCAATTAGTCGCAATCGGTGGTGACGCGTGCGTGAGCTGTTCTGTACCTTAACATGACCCTCTACAGGTTTTATCGGTGTACTGTTATTGCATAAATAGCATGTGTGATCACAAATAAAACATTACTTGCAAGTTAGTGCTGTGTGTGTGTGTTTGTCTCTCTCAGTGTCCTTGTCGTGGTGCACTATATCTATATAAATGATGAACCCCAACCAACTAGCCTGGCAACGTGCCTTAGCAACGTGCCTAGCAAATATTAAAGGCAAATGACATTTTTTGCCATAGTGTAAAGTAAACTCTTGAGAACCTCGGAAAGGTAAGTATTATGCACAGAAATGCTTTGGTAATTGAGCGTATAGGACGCGACTTGCACCACCTGTGCTACATCCTGGAACATGAGCCCAATGCTGTAGAATGGCTTCAGTACACTGATGCTCTTGCAGTAGATGCATTCGCATTATGAGAGAGGTCAGTGATTTTACCACCAGTATGGGGGCAGTATTTTCTTTCTTTTTTTTTTTTGTGCATGTATTTTCGTTTTCAAATGAAGTAGTAAACGAAGATGCCCTCTGCATTTGCAAATTAAAAATGTCCTTACAGTCATATCTCGATCTAATGAACCCAGATATAACGAAATATTGGTTATAACAAAGTAAGTGAGAAATAGTTTTGCAATAGATAAAGGTTTTGGAATATACCATTATAAGAAATGTTTAGATATAACGAACTTATTTTCATGTAAGGTGCAACTTTGTTCTACTGAGGTGAGAGTGTATTCAAATGGCTGTCAACAGGTTGTTCTGGATAGTTTAACGTTCTTGTTTTTGCATCGTGACCTCTGTAATCAGTTAAGGTAGTGCACGGCTGGAGACAGTGGTGGCCACCATGCTCACGATGACGAATGACGAAATTCAAGAGCATGGCGCGTGGGCTTGCAAATTTTCTGGCCCTAAATTCATACATAGTTTCCACAGCATTGCATGAAGCACAGTACGATCAATAGTACTCAATTTAATAGTTGTGAAATCTGGGATTTGATATCCCAAAACCATGATAAGATTATGAGGGATAAGTGGGAATTTCAGCCATCTAGTGTTCTTTAATGTGCACGGACATCGCACACTTCAAGGGTCGATCTTTAGCATCTCGCCTGCAATGAAATGCAGCCACCGCAGCCCAGGATCGATCTTACGACCTTCTGCGGGTGCTCAGTCATGGTAGAAATGAACATTGCAGCGCATTGCAGGACGAAGTAAAACTGAGCATGTGCTTTTCAGCTTGATTCATTTCAAAAAGAACTTCTGGGCATTGCCCTTGAGAACGACACAAGTTTAGTTCGTGCCGGGCTTTGCAAAAACGAGCATACAAAATGCTATGTCTCAAAGGCCGTGCTCGTGGGCAGGTGGTTTCTAGGGATTTATGGACCACTTAAAGGAGAATTCACGTTCCAACATAGCATTTCTTCGGAATGAAGCAAGCACTGAGAGGCCGCTGGAACACTATTTCAACTACCCATGCCGACTTCATATATTCGCCATTAGTATATCTTTAATGGGATACTGATAAGGTGCTCTTATTAGGGTTAGATTGGTGAAAATTCTCATACAAACCTACTTTACAGGCTTGATGAAAGAGGCATCAATTCAAAGAGGCAGTTCGAAAAGTGTGCCCAACGAACATTGAATATCTGATGTACAGTGCAAAAATGATGAATCCATATTCAAAATTTGGATTGTTTCCACACCACTAGTTAAATGACTTATTTGTAAACAAGAATTGTATAGCTTTTGTACAGTCGCAAGTTCTAAGGTCATCAGTATGTGCATACCAAAATAGTGTTCAGCTTAAGCTTCTTTTAAATTTACTATGCTAGATTACCTTTCCAGTGTATTGATTGAGGGATCAACATGCAATAAAAAAGTAACTATCGTGTGTTTAGGTGTTCTTTATGCTTCTTGCTTGATTCAAAGTGGTGGTAGTCACATTTTCTACAGGAGGCGAAAATGCTTAAGGCCTGCATACCTAGATTAAGGTGCACGCTAAAGAACCCCAGTTGGACAAATTTTCCGGAGCCCTCCACTACAATGTCTCTCATAATTATATTGTGGTGTGCCCGCACAAAATTGGTTCAAAATAATTTGGCCAGTTTTATCTGTCCTTTTGGTTCAAGTTGAAATGCAATTTTATTGCCCCTTGAGGGAACTTGTACACTCGCAGACAACATTTGTTGATATACTGTGAGTGCTGTGTTAAAGCTGGCTCGAGACACTAGGCAGCGCAGTGCATGCAGTCAAACCTACACATGATCGACCTAAGCACATCCAGGTCCTGTGTTGACTTGTTTGCCTGCCTGATTGTTGATTGATTGAATATAAGATATGGATGTGCTTATTAATCACTTTCGTAGCCTGGATGTGTGCTGTGCTGCTAGTTGTCTCATGAGTCTGCTACCAAATGAGGTTTCAATATTTTGCAAAATTTCGGCCGTGACTCTGCATTATACATATGTTACACTGAAGAGTGAATGATACAAATGGCTACACGTTGGCACTGACGGTGATTTCTGCGTCATTCTTCTGGTTGATGGACTAGATCATGCACTGCCTTCTCGGTGTGCCCGATGTGTACTGGAAGGACAATGCCGACGGTGGGGGTCACGAACCACCACAGCAAGAAAGACCAGGTCAGTGGTCGCATGTGGTTTAGGAAACCAGCTTCGCTATAGTTTCTTGTAGATGGCAATTTCATTAAAACATCATTGATACATTCTGTTTTGTAACTGGAGCATCACTCCTGTCTGATTTGTACGAGCAGTGCCTCCAGTAGAATATTGTTGGCCATGATTTGTATGAGCAGTGCCTGCAGTAGAATATTGTTGGCCGGAAGCCATGCGGTGGAATAACTGCTCGAAAAGACGGTAAAGTGAAACAAGTTAGTTTAAACTGATAAATGTTAGTCTCGAAACTCAAGTGTTGTTAATTTTACCACCTGTAGGCTTATTGATAGGAGAAAAAAATTGAGGCGAGTTTCATAATTAAATTTCCTGCCGGAATCTTTGACAGGGATAAAGAAACTCAATTTTTTTTTTATGCTTTGGCCACATCACCTTGATAAAGTTTTCTGAAACTTAGCCTGTTGAGTCTCTAGATTTCACAGACAGCAATGCGTTTAATTTTTACTCATCAGGAATAATGTGGGCTCTAGCAGACGCCATGAAAATGTACGATATCACAACGATTTGTGTGTGAACTTCAAGGTGGCACCACCATGCGAGTTTTTTTTTTTTTTTTTTTTTTGCACGTTTGATTTTCTATCGAGCCTGTCGTCACAGACATGGTCACTTCAGTTTATGAAAAAGTAATTTTCTAGTACAAAGAAAATATTCTCTCACGTTAGTGCTCGTTTTCAAACAAAGTAGTAAATGAAGATGCACTCTGCTTGCAAATTAAAAATGACCTTACACTCATTCCTAGATTATATGAACCCTCAATGTAACGAATCCAGATACAACAAATTATCTGTTATTACAAAGTAAAGAAAGAAATGGTTCCGTAAGCGATATAGTTTTAGAAATACACCTTTATAACTAATTTTTGGATAAAATGAGCTTATTTAATATGCAACTTTGTTGTTATGAGGTTTGTGCATAGTTAGGTTATGACTTTTGCCTTCCGACCATTCATTGCTGCATTATGTCGTTCGTGAAAGAAGCTGACCGTATTTGTTTGTTTTGTTCGTTCGTCCAGTGCTTCTTTCGACTGCCCAGGTACGGCGACTGAAGATCGCTGCGTCTCTCGATGGAAGGATGTCAAGAGGAGGCTAAAGTATGGCCGCATTTTGTCATTTGCTTTTGTTTACCGCACGAAGATAACGATCCTTGTTTATTGCTGAGCTGGGCTCTTGTCATGCGAGGGACGATGAGTTTATGGACATCAAACGAACAAGCTTTATCATTTTATCTGCCGAGGTGATCAAAGTTTTTCCTGAATTGCGTGGAATTGGTGAGATAGATGTAGCGAGTAACGATGGGTTCTGCCGACAGGTGCAACATGAATAGTGGCAATGAACGAAAACGCTCATCAGCTTTTTAACAGCACCTTCATTTTAGTGACGAAAGTTATCATTTCAATCTGTTATGGTAAAACAACTTACTTTTCGCTTGAGTGTAAAATTTTGAGGTTGCATAGACGATAGACGGCTCAAATATATGGTGCAGTTTTTTTGACTGATTATAATATGGTCTAGATTTGTTTAGCATGGCTATTTTATGTACTTGTGCAGATATTTATCGAACGGGTATTATGTTATTTGAATTCATTTCTATTTGAATTTAAGTTTTTGAAAGTTTTGAGGTATTCGAAATGTTTGAATATGTGTTAATAAGTCCGCGTGCAACCCCTTGTAAAGGTGGTTTCACTGTATGGGTGGGCTGTTAAAAGGCCAGTGAACAGGCTCCAACATTATTTTACACCCCCCCAAACAAGCTTGGCAATTCGTAGAGTGGACCGCAGCTATCACGTTTTCCGATGATTACAGCGCTGCGCTCTGCGCAGAACCTTCTTTTCGAAAAGCAATTCCGGCTCTCCTTTCCTACGCCTGACCAATCCTCCTTCCGCGCACAATGATGCAATGTCGGCGACTTGACGCAGCATGCAGCTCGTCAATTGGTCGAAAACCAGGTCTCAGCAAACAGTAGTGGTCAACGTCCGTTCTTTTTTCCACCCATCCCACCCACAGCTACGAAACCGCCCCTTTTTTCTTGGCACTGGCAGTGATACAGTTTAGTTTCTCGCAGTTATCGCGCATACATTCTTCGCTCAACTACAGCTCTAACACCTGCGCGCACGTGATTCGCTCTCGGCCTGTGCAACACAGGGGACAATTGTTGCACCATAGACAGAGTCACCACGATGGGCTACGCCATTCCTCTCCATTGTGAGGGGGGAGGGGGGCGAGGCCACGCGAAAATTTGAAACCAGCTGAAAGCAATGTTTTAACCCCTGTAACTTGCTTAATATAGCACGTATTCGCAAAATTCTTGCGGCAGCATGTTCACGAAGCAAAAGTGCACCCACATCTTTTTATGACATTGTTTGGACCTTGTGGTTGTTTATGTAGTGACTGTGCCCGGGTAGCGCGGACGCCACTAGCCAAGCCAAAAGTGGGCGTGAAGCCTGCGAAGAATGACCAGACAACGCGTTGTTCACAAACAGCAAAAAGCCCCGTTTAATGCCCACCGATGCCTTTTATACAGAGTGGGGGCGCCACCTCCCAGTTACTAGAAGCAACAGGTGGCGTCCTCTACATCCCTCCTTCCGGAGCTCTCAAACACAAGTGTTCCAAAAGTGCACCACCAAGAAACAGTCCCTGCAGCAGTCTCACAAATTCAGTCTCCGAGGTAGCACCACGCGCCGGCCGTATCGTGTGTAACGGTGACCTGGCGATCCTGCAGCCGGTGCAGGAGCTGGAGTGTCCAATGCGTTACCGGTTGCTGCCCGCTGTGGTCCGGGAGACGGCGCCGATGTCGGGGCCGCAGGGTTGGGGATTCCCGTCTCATCTGAGGGGGCCGACTGAGGATTGCTGCAGGGGACAAGGTGTCTGCGGTTTCTCACTAGTATGCCACTGGGCGTCTGGACGATGCACGAGCGGGGTCTCTGAGCCGGGCTTAGGACCGTCGCCCTTGCCCGCGTGTCACGCACCCAGACTTCCTCCCCATCGTCGAGAGCACGAAGGTCATGCGCTGCGTGTCGGTTATTGTAGTCTCTCTGTTGTCTTCGTCTCTGGGCGGCATCTCTGTCATTGAATTCTTTCACCTGGGGCCAATCTGGAACAAGGCTTTGAGCCGTGGCTGGCACACGAGTTCGCAGAGAGCGTCCCATGAGCAGTTGGGCCGGGCTGTAGCCAGACACACCGGGAGTGTTACGGTATGCTAGCAGAGCCAGAAACGGGTCTGTGGCCTTCAGAAACAACTCCTTGATCGTGCGAACCATGCGCTCTGCTTCGCCGTTCGACTGCGGGTAGCGTGGACTGCTCGTGACATGTGTGAAACCGTATGTCTTCCCAAAGTCCTCAAAAGCTTTGCAGGAAAACTGTGGCCCATTGTCGCTGACAACAGTCATGCCGTGTCGGGCAAACGTGCTCTTGATCGCAGGAATAACGGCTCCCGCAGAAGTGGACCGGAGTGTGAGGACCTCAGGGTACCGAGAACGGTAGTCAATAACCACCAGGAACTCTTGATTAGCAAAATGAAACAAGTCAATGGCCACCCTTTCCACGGAGCTGATGGTGCCTCGGTCGCAATCATGGGCTCACAGCGTTGAACGCGTATAGAAGCACATGCTGGGCAGTTCTCTACGGCTGCTTTAACCTGGCTGTTGAGACCAGGCCACCACACAGAGCCTCGGGCCACCGCCAAGCACCGATTGACGCCTTGGCGACCATCGTGCAGCAGGTTCACGATGTCTCTGCGTAGTGTTGCGGGCACAACTAGGCGTCCGCCCATGAACAGCATGTTCTCGCATACAGTGAAGTCTCCCCGGTGGTCCCAGTAACGCGTCATGTTGAGTGGCAGACGGTCTCGTCGAGGCCACCCTTTCATGCAGTATGCTTTCAGCATTTAGCACTCGCCGTCTGAAGTTTGGTGAGACCTGAAGTCTTCAAGACGTACGGCCAGGGTTGAAGGAAGGGCTGCCACGACCAGAGACACAAAAATTTCTGTGCTATCCTCTTCGGACGTGGAAGAGCCTTCGGGATCCCTACAGAGGGTGTCTGCCGTGGCCAGGTACTTTCCTGGAACATACTTGACTGTGAACTGATATCGCATGAGCCTTATGCGAAATCTTTGGATGCGAGGGGCATGAGGTCCAGATCGGCGAAACCAAGCAACCTGACGAGCGGCTGATGGTCGGTTTCAACGACAAAGCTGAGTCCACGCAGGAATTCCTCAAACCTCTCGATAGCCCAAGAGACACCAAGCGCTTCTTTCTCAATCTGACTGTACCGCTGCTCAGCGGTAGTCAGTGCTCTTGACGCGAACGCGACAGCCCGTCGCTCTCCCGTCTGTTGCTCCTGCAAAGAACCGCGCCTAGCCCGAACGAACTGGCATCTGCTGACACAAAGGTGGGTAGCTCTGGATTGTGGCTGGCCGTACAAGCATTAGATGCCACCATTCCCTTCAATGTCTCGAAAGAGGTTGCTTGCGCATGGTCCCAGGTCCAGACCGCGTTCTTGTTCAACAGGAGCCGTATCGGTGTAGTGACGGCAGACAGGTTCGGTAAAAATCTTCCAATGTGGTTCAGCATGCTCAGGATATGACGGACGCCATGCGTATCTGTCGGCGGCCTTCATGTTCACAGTAGCAGATACCTTGTCAGGGTCAGCCGAGATGCCACTGGCGCTCACCACTACACCAAGGAACTTGACGGAAGATACTCCGAAGGAGCATTTCGAGGCATTCAACGTAATGCCCGCTTGTTCTAACTTGCGAAGGACTGCTTGGAGTCTGCTGTCGTGCTCGGAATGGTTCCTGCCGAATACTAGAATGTCATCTACCATGTTCACACACCCTTCCAGGCCCTCTAGAATCCGAGACATTTGGCGCTGAAATACTTCGGGAGCGGACGTGATGCCGAAGGGCAGGCGGCGGTAGCAGTAGCGTCCGAACGGTGTTATGAAGGTAGTCAGCTTCTGACAGCTTTCCGATAGCCTTACTTGATGAAACCCGGATTTTGCATCAAGTTTCGAGAAGACTGCGGCATTGCCAAGACGGCCAAGTACTTGGTCTACTGTGGGCATAAGGTGTCTCTCCCGAAGAACTACTTGGTTCAACTTCGTGAGGTCAACACAAATTCTGTATTCGCCATCGGCTTTGGGTACCAGCACAATACCAGCACACCACGGGGTTGGCACTGTGACTCGCCGGATGATCCCGTCCCTTTCCATGGCATCTAAGTCCTTCTTGAATACGCCTTCGAGGTGAATAGGGATGTGCCTAGGAACGCTGAGAGAAAATGGAATCGCTCCCGGCTTGATACGAATGTGGTATTCTTCAGACATCTCGCCAAGGCCTGAGAACAGCGAAGCTGCGGCCTTGTCTGACGTTGGGGGCCTATTCGGGCTTCCGCATCTTCCACGGTGTCAACAAACTGGACGACTCCCAGGTCCACTACCGCCGAGTACCTCAGCAGAGGAGAGTCAATGTCTGCTACAACGTACAACGTTTTGCATACCGACCGGCCTCGCCACGACAGGGTAGCAGGAAACGTCCCAAGCAACCTTAGGCGGCAGCGGGCCGGCCCCATCAACCATTCATTATCGGGTTTGTCAAGGTCTACTGGGCACCCGGCGAAGCTCGGAGGTACAACCGAAACGTCCGCCCCAGTATCCACTTTGAATTGAAGGGGGCGTCCGTTGACATGAACAACAACGTGCCAGCGCTCTGTTTGCAAGGCATCCACGGCGCAGAGCTGGATTTGGCTTAAACGCCTAGTATTATTCGAGCGGCAAACCGCGGCGAAGTGTCCCTTCTTGCGACATTGGTTGCATGTGGCCCACCGTGCTGGGCACTCATATCGCGAATGAGGGGCGTGGCCACAAAAATCGCATGCCGACTTCGGGCCGGCGCGGTACTCGGGAGGCCGACAGACGTTACATTTACTTCGGGCAGCTTCGCATGCTGGGGCGTCGGCCATTCGGTACTGGTTGTTCGCAACGGCGTCGACGTTCAGTGCGTCTGGTGCAAGGCCTGTCCCCTGACGCCACAATTTCTCATTTTCAGCGTCTTCGTATGAGCGCCTCGTCCAGTGTAAGCTTTGGATTGCGGCAGAGCTGGTCGGTCAAGCGAGAGTCAAGCAAACCTACGGTAAATCTGTCCCGAACCAGCCAGTCGTCGATTTCCCGAGAGGCGTAGTTGCACTTCTTCACAAGATTTCGGAGCGCCGTGAAAAATGCGTCGACTGACTCGCCTACCGCTTGCGTGCGCTTGTGGAACCTGCTCGACTCGTATACCTCGTTGACGGGGTGTACAAAATATCCCGATAGACTTGTTGTCACGCCGGAGTACGAGCGATAGGCCTCAGCGTCTGACATAAGAGACGAAAGCACCTCGTGACCTTGGGGACCCATACAGTAGAGGAGCGTGCGTACCTTGGTTTCTTCGGGGGCGTAGGACAGTCCTGAGGCGAAGGAGTAATCCTCGAATTGTTGAAGCCACGCCGTCCATTAGGCTGGGTTGTCAAAAGTGAACTGCGGCGGAGTTCGCAATGTGAAGCTGGCGGTCACAACAGAGGCGGCGGCTGGGTTATCCTGCATGTTGCACGGTTGTCGCAGGATCCTCACTTCTGACACCATGTAGTGACGTGCGCGGGTAGCGCGGACGCCGCTAGCCGAGCCAAAAGTGGGCGTGAAGCCCGCGAAGAATGACCCGACAACGCGTAAGTTCACGAACAGCAAAAAGCCCCGTTTAATGCCCACCGATGCCTTTTATACAAAGTGGGGGCGCCACCTCCCAGTTACTAGAGGCAACAGGTGGCGTCCTCTACAGTTTACTGGCCCTTTAAGCTGTGAAAGCGCCTATTTAAATGGGTATATTAATTTGCATGCAACATTTTGTTAAGGGGGTTTCGCTACAGTGAAAGGGTGCTAAGCCATGACGATGCCTATCCAGGGAAAATACGCACTGCCCTGAGGCTCCACTTTAAGGTTAAATAAACACATTACCCTCGCATAGTCATAATTTTTTTAAGTTTAAAAGCTTGTTATACCAGCCTGTATGCTCTACGTATAGCAAATTTTAAAGAGCAACATGTTTTACAGGTTATCACTTGCATTCTTTTGAAAGTCATATCTTTCTACTATTCGAAGTTGTTCTCACTTTCCTTACACAAAAAAAAATTGAATTTCTACTGGCCTTGTTTAAATTTATTATAATGTTATGCAGGTTAGTTAGGTCATGACAACTGTGGCCATTTTTTTAATGTGATTTATATTCAATCTCAGTTGAAAATTATTCAATTGAAATTACTATTCGCTTTGAATTTCCTTTGAACCTAAACTCTGCTATTCGCGCAAGCCTAGTATTCTCATATGCTGACTGCAAGCATATAATCAACATACTTTTACACTATTCAATGTGTACACTTAGTGTCCACAGTGAATGGTATTGTTATCAATTGCTTGTTTATTTTAAGGATTGAAACCAACCTGCAGCTGTTAGCATTTGCAGACAACTTCACAATGAACTTGGGGCATGATTCATAAACATGTTATGTTCGCTAGTGTACTATCATGAGCAATATGAGCTGGAACACCAAGTTCGTGTTTATTCATCAATCACAGGTACTCGTATGCCAACTTCCAACGACTTGTCAGCTGCATTGAGCTGCTGTTACTTTTAAAGAGTGGTTTTATCGTTCCACATCATATTTCTCATGATTTAGTTCATGGTTTTGTTGTTGGGTACTACTGGGGGTTGATTTTGGGGTTCAGTGTGCAGTATTAATTCGTTGTGCAGGTATGTAGTGCCAACGCGCTATGGTCTAACTGGTCGAATTCGTGTACAGTTTGTTTTGTGATCGATGTTAAGCTAGCTGTTAACTGCATCTGTGTTCTGGAATGTTGGGTGACATGACTAACTGCATCTTGCTTGCATGTCTGTGCATGCTACAGTGCCCTCCAGACTGCAATAGCTCTGGGATAATGTGCCTATTGGAAGCTAGCATTGGCTGTTTTTTGACATAAAATTGTAAATTTTCTGTCGACTGTAGTGCATTAACATAATGTATTTGAATTGCACATTACGCATGCCTAGGCTATGAATTGGCAGCACTCTCAATGTGAAGAGTTTTGCAAGGCACCTTTAATGTGCTATCAGTAAGGAAAGAAATGCGAACAGCGCTAAGCATGGCTTTCGGCCCAGGCGAACACCGACATGCTTTGTCTGTCACTGAGAATCTGTGCTTTTAGCCGGTGTCACCACAGTGCACCAGAATCTTGCTCGAGCTGGCGCTATCAAGCCGCAAGTGGCCATCATGCCTAGCACTCAATAAGCACATTTGTTGCGACAGTGCCAGCCAGACAAAGATTCGAATGCTGTGGTGACGTCGGCTGGAAGCGCAAATTTTGGCAAACGGCAGACAAGGCATGTTCGGTATTCAACTGGGCAGAGAACCGCGCTTTTCGCTGTTCACATTTCTTTCCATCGCATAAGTACAAGGGAATGCGTCGTGAAACAGCATGTGTGAATTTTTAGAAGCGTATAAAAAAATTCACACATAAAAAGCGTATAATTTCCCTTTCCCCAGTACAGGGTAGCAAAGCGGAAATTTTCTTCTGGTTAACCTCCCTGCGTTTCACTCAACCTTATTCTTTCTCTCTCTATATATATAGTGCATATTTAGGATTGCTGTCTTGTTTCTGAAACATCTTTTTTGCATGTATCTTGCAGGGTGCATAATCGTATTAACAGTCAATCGTGAACGGAGTAGTCTTGTTTGCTAAATTTGAGCATCTGATTTTTTTTTTTTTTTTCAGGCAATCTATCGGTGTGAGCTACTTGGTGCTTGGAAATAAGAAGTGACAGAGCCACACGCTCTTGCTTCAGTGGCACGGTTTTCTTTTTTCTACATCCTGCACACGAGCATAGCTCTTGCTTTTTATATATATTGACACAACCATTATATTTTAACTTGTACGAAGCTCGCTTAGCCCAAGCGATGTGATACATCTAGTCAATAAATCATTATTTTCTAGTTTTATTGAGTTGTTTATTATTATTTTAATGTAAATAATTGGTAGAAGCCATATATTCTCTCGTGAATATAAAAAATTTCATCTTCCGGGGTTGTCAACACGAATGGTACCAATAGTTGTGTGGTGAATACCCACATTTCCTGGGTGAGAATTGAACTTCAAGGTTAATGTGCGTAAAATTTTGCATGTGCACCATGTGATTAGAAGTGATCATTAGGTGCGTAAGCTGAATCAAATGTCAATTAAGGTGGACTAGAGAAAATCAAAGGTGAAATTAAGTTGAAGATGTATAAAAGGTGAATTTGTAGCATATCAAATATTAAAGATATTAAGCTAATTGAGTCAAGTGCTGTGAATTAATGATCAATAAAGCTTTGAAGCATAGAATTTACTTCGCCCTGTGCCCTTCTTAGCTAAAGAAACTGTCTCTTTTGTTTTGTCTTAGAAATTACCCGCACGTGTGCATTTTCAAAGCAAGAGCATGCTACTGAGCTATGCCAAACTTGATGCACAATCTGAACCATTAAGCTTCATACTGCAGTGCTTTCTTATGTACTCAAAATTTAGGGTTTGATGAAAGCTCAACCATTCGAGAATGATCATGGTGCATTTTAAAAAAAACACCTGCCATATAAAAATGCTGCAAGTTTTTAAAAGATGAGACATCCAAGTTCCCATATGAAAGCCCTGCTGGCAACGGTGATGACATTGTAATCTCAAGTGACATATAAAAACGCTACAACGTTTTGAAAAGACGAGACATCTGAGCTCCCGTTTTGAAGTCCTGCTGTAAACTTAAAAATTCAAAATCTCCAAAAATTCAGAATCTCCAGTGCTTTGTGAATGAATGATGCACAGTGCAAACATACAAAGGTGCTATCATTGTTCCTTCTATACCGTAAGTCAGCTGGTCAAATTACTCCGAGTTGCGTACCAAAACTACTAGCTTACCTATCGAACAAAGTGGAGAATTCATGAGATGCGTAAGCAGTGTTACAAAACATTGAACTGTTTGAGAGAGTTGAGCCTCCCCAAAAAAGCATGTTTTACTCTCAATGCAACTAGCCAGTAGGATGCAGAAATTGCTAATCGGCATCTGCGCAGTGTGTAAATATGGAACCGATACTAATAATAGAATGTAGTTTCATTATACTTTGGGGCCAACGGCACATCTGTTCTCCCAGACAATGTGACGACCAGCAGATTAGAAACTTATAGCAGTATTTCTGGTGTACTGCTTTTTTTTTCCTCACTCTAGGAATGTTGCTTAGTTGTTGCTGCTATGTTGCCAGTTTCACACCTGCCTGAATCCAAATGACACAATGACTGTTTCATACTTCCGGTGGGCCCTTTCTTTTCAAAGGGACTCTCCAACTCACTTTTAGCTTGATCACAAGTAGCTGCTTGTCTATGGTCTAAGCTTCTGGGACCATGCAAGCCAAACATTATAGTGCAGCAGCACGTGACGCCTGGAATTTACAATTAATCCTTAGGCTGCTAGAAATCGCTCCCTCTTCTCATGACAAATGATGCCGCATAGCCAAATTACTGCAACCTTTACCCCAACTGCTCAGCTGGCCGATTTGAATGTCGTGAGCTGCTGCCAGCATGAATACTGTGGCTGCCGCTAGGTGGCGCCACATGCTTGCATGTGTGCTCATGATCACACTGAAAGTAAGCCACCCACTCGAAGAGAAAAAAAAGTGTTCAAGGTCAAGACATGCGCACAAAAAACGCTTCTTCTTGCCCCCTTGTCAACCCTCTTTTCTGCATAGCTTTTATTGTGCTCGCTCACATGAAATGAAAGAGAAAGCACTTCAAGTGTGCTGCAAATACTTGTGACTCTGCTTGTTTTCGGATGGATTCTGAAAAAATTTGTGGTGGTCGATTTGTAAGAGAGTAAGCTCTCTTGGTGAAGCTATAAGACGATCGCTTGGAATAGTGTTGCAGGGTCCCTTTAAAACTTCAGTTGTCTGTAAAGTTCATTTTGTTGCCACTGTAAACAAAACTTCTACGTGGAAGCTAGACACTTATAGTATTCTTATGGGATATCCTGAACAGCTATGGGCAGTCCAACTGGCCCGCGAAGCGGCGGAAAGGGTCCTTGTGTGGCAGCATCGTGCTTTTGGCTAGAAAACTGGGCACGACGTAATGGTCCTCAATAAAGTTTTCCTATCCATCCATCTGTATTTCTACACACGTCTCCAATCTGGCACTACATGCATGAATCATCTTGTGTGTGGTGTGTGTTCTGTGTGTGTTTTTGTACTCTTCACTTTCAAATATTTATTATTCAGATTCAGCGTAGACATTTTCTTTTTTATATATACTTGTGTGTGTGCATCTGTGTGTTTTAAACAGTTAGAATTTCTTAATCAGCAGAGACATTATATGCCAATTTCAGCTCTAAGAAACACTATTATGACGTGGCATTTTATTCTTTTGTCTTGTGTAGTTTTGTGTTCCCTTTAGCTTTGTGCTGTTTTGTGCACTGAAATTCTTTTATGTGGTTCAGATCTGCTAGACTCTGAATGTGCATGTGTAAGGGTGTTAAGGAATGCTAGTGTCACTATCTTGTAAGCACTAACATTTTTTTGGTTTTGGAAAACCATTCAAAAGTTCTCAATAACAACAGTTTTCATTGAAAGCATTCTTTTTTTATCTGAGCGAAAAGACCATTTTTTTTTTTGTTAGCTTACATGCTGTTCATTTCCCATGAGAGGCAATGTGTGCTAATTTATCCACACTACCAAGGCTGGTGTGAAGCCTAAACTTGACACAAGGTGTCGTGCTGTTCCCACCTCACAGAAAACTACTTAAGATATTGCTGAACAGATGTTTGAAAACTTGAATTGACATACAAACCACTTCAGATAGTGCTATAATAGAAGCAGATTACATTGAAAACACTTTCTCTTTCAAGCACTTCCAGTTTTCCAAATAGTCAAAAGTCTTGTGTAAAAAAATAAAATGAAATCTGTCTTTGGTGCAATTCAATTGTTATGTTGGATACGTATGATAAAAGAACGTGGGTTTATTTAAGCGCCAGTAAACTGGCTGGATTATTAAAGTTGGATGAATTGATTGAAAGGCCCACTTTCTGAGCAACTGGGATCAGTTGCAAGGCCTGGTGGAGCAGATCTTCACCATGCATTTCTTTCTACGCGGGAGGTCGGCTGTGGCAGTGCAACAAACCGTTAATCCAACGAATACACCAGGACACACGAGCTCTAAGCTGCGAGTGCCACTGCCAGACACCTATGTGTCGAGGTTTTTCGTGTTTAATGCATAGCTCTTATGACACTTGGCTGGGTTTCACTTTAAGCAAGAAGTAGTTACGAAACCGAAAGGAAAATGAAAATTCGGTGCTCATTGAAAGTTTTTTTCCACCATATCTATAAGGTATAGCCCCATAAGGTACAGTCCCGGCTACTGTTCTCGCCTCTGAAGTGGGCCATAAAATGGGGGACAAGTCCACCGGTGGCAGTGGTTGTTTTTGTGTGTGCTTACATATGTGTGGTGCAAGGAGGAGAGCCCACAGGACTGCCAAGGACAGTGACCAGTCGCCAGCGGACCATTTGAGCTGCGCAGGACGTTCCCTTTTATTGGTGTCATTAAATGAGTTCGTTTTGTTCTAATCACCGGCTTTGCTTCGCTGTTCGATATTTCACAACTTGAGCCATCGAGTCGTGGGGACACTATGACGCCTTTTATGGAGTTTTTTCCCACATAGCACATATGGTGTCGCCATTTCCATATCAAGCAGTCAGTGAAGTATGCATTACTCATGCCTACTGCACTAATAACTGGCTTCTATAACAAAAATGTTGCATATCTTTAATCGTAGACTGGCGTTTCACGGTGTAGTGCTGCCCGGGCAGCACTGAAAAATCTGCATGCGTGATGTACGAGTGTCGATGCTTTTTTTTAAGGTGACATAAAATTGTTATTTAATGGTCGTAATTTAGCTGAGAAATAGCATAAATGCATTGTGCGAGTCAAGTTTACTCCTAGTGGTAGACATTACTTGCATGAAAAGTCAGGTGTCATTCAGTTATTACCTGCAAATTAATCGCACCTCGGTGTACATACTGCAACTGATAAACTGTATGTAAGCTCCGATTTTGCAGTATTCACCCATTGCTATAAATCTTGAGGTAGCGGGAATCTATTATTTGCGTCATCAAATACCTGAGGCAGAAATGCACCGTAATTCTTCAGCCACTTCTCTTATAAGAATCCGTTGTTGTATCGATGAAAAACAAAAGCGTAGTTGAACGGCCATGTGTGTGTGTGTTCATGAGTGTAATATTTGTTGCCCTCCTGCCGAATAATGTGAAGGCACTGAAGAACTTCTCAAAGTGGATATGCGCACCTGGCAAAACCATGTACAAATTAAATTAGTAATATTTTTGTTATTTAGTCAATAATATAACCGAATTGACTCACGAGTACTCTCTGCCAATTAAAGTAATCGAGCCAGGTATATTGTCTCTCACTGGCACGCAGTTAATGTTTTTGAATGTTAAAGAAAAACACTGGTGTTTATATTGTTGCGCAGAAATAAAACTAATTCAGTCATGAACCACAGTACAGCTCGCACCCGAACCTCAACTTCCCTTTTTGACGCCTTTTTAGATCTGTCCCACTATACACTGAGAATGTTAGTTAAACAATCACGCAATATGTTTTATGCCGCCCTAAATATATACACACTGTTTTACTATCTTATTTGGCAACCAAGCCCCGCCGTGGTTGTTAGTGGCTAAGGTACTCGGCTACTGACCCGCAGGTCGCGGGATGTTGTAGGCCCGTGTGCTCAGATTTGGCTGCACGTTAAAGAACCCCAGGTGGTCGAAATTTCCGGAGCACTCCACTACGGCGTCATCATATGGCAGTTTTGGGACGTTAAACCCTACATATCAATCAATTTGGCAACCAAGGCCAGGCAGACGTGTTGCCGACTGGTCACCCCGACGGTGGCCCGAACCACGCCACCAACCAAGTGCCGACGTAGCCTGCAGCGCACCTCGGTCTAACCTCGGACCGACCCTTCCCGAATGTCTGCGAGCCAGTGAAGTCGGCTGCCGAATACATCTCAGCAATCCGCCGATCGTCGGCAGTCAGCCAAAGTACAGTGTACTAGATAGTAGCCAAGGCTGCTTGGGATGTATTTATTTATTTATTAACAAATACCTGCAGTGCCCGAGGGCATTATTGCAGAGGAAAAATACACAACATAAAAAGAACTATTCAAAAACAAGATGATCACAAAAACAGGTGCATAAAATATGCAGCTATGAAAGTAATATGCCCCTGCAAGAGGTTTCAGTGCGGCAGTCTGCAACCTCTTGTTGGAGCCGATTCCACTGCAGGGGGATTATGAGCGGATGCTGTTTGAAAACTCGATTTAACGAAATTATTTCATGAAATCAGTAACTTCTTTAAATCGGAAAGCAAAACAGCCTACGTAGACAAGTGCGGGTGGAATCTGAATATGTTCGTTCAACGGATTATTCGTAATATCGGATTTAGTTAGAGTTTCTGCCTGCAGGCCACCTTTACGAAATTTAATACCGCAAGGGCCAGGACAGTGAAGAAGGTAAAGCGGTGGCAAAGTGTTCAAAAGCGTTGCCATACGAAAAAAAAAAAAAAGTTTCGATTTCTCAGATGCAGGTCGTTTTTGAACATGTCCATACCGGTCTCCAAAACTTGCCAACTCTCCCGAAATGTCTGGGAGACTTCAGATTCAGGCCTGACTTCAGATTCAGGTGGTCTAGTGGCAAGGGTACTCGGCTGTTGAGCCGCAGGTCGCGGAATTGAATCCCGGCAGCGGCAGCTGCATTTGCGATAGAGGCGAAAATGCTGTAGGGCTCGTGTGCTCAGATTTGGGTGCACGTTAAAGAACCCCAAGTGGTCGAAATTTCCGGAGCCCACCACTACGGCGTCTTTCATACAGGTCTTCCCGATTGTGTGGACGTGACCGTAGAAAATTAACCGAATGCGTTCGATGGAAGAACACATTAGTATCAATTACTATATAAAGTAATCTCATTTCGCGCGCCCGTGTGTAAGATACCATTTTTGTATCTTACACCGTGACCACACGTATGCAACGCAGGTGTTGCAGCGAACGGCTTCTTCACATGGCGCCACGCTTTCTTCCTAGGAACAGAGAAGGTGCATGGCTACGCGCATGGCCTCCGAAATAACAAGCGCGCGGCAGGTTTAATCTCGGAGGCCATGCTACACGAAGCTGCACGCCCTCTCACCAGGGTGCGGCGCTACGTGAGAAAGTCACGCTACAGTGGCTGGAATAGGCTATTCTAACCACTGTGACTCGCAGTGACTAGGCTATTCTACCACTGTGCATCGCGTGACTTCAGGCTATTCTAGCCACTGTAGTCACGCGATGCAACAATTGCACTATTTTTTGCCAGTGGCCTTCGATATGGCAGACGTGCTTGGTCCAACTGGGCCTCACTAGATGGCGACAAGTCCAGTTTAACCTAGGCAAAAATTGAAACCTTTGAACTAGTCGTGCCATTCCTCATAATAACGTCCGGCGTTTTTTTTTTTTTTTTCATGAATCAAACAAACTAAACGAACAAGCAGCATTTTATTATGTCTATTATTGCACAAAAGGTTCATTTAGTGGAACTAGTTTGTTTACTAGTGATTAATTGTAGGCGACAAGTGTGATCTCATCTGGATCTTTTTGCGCTGATCCGGATGACGTCAGACTCATGGTACATGTGTTCTCCTGCATTTACATTAATTTCTCGGCAAGTAGGGCACTACTGTTGACGATATCTTCATTTTAGACATCATACATTGAGCTTTCGCTCAGACCCCAATTGTTATTCGACTTTAGCATCCATTTAACAACCCTGCGTAGCTCCCAGCGCGCAGGCGGCACTGAGACGCCGAATCGCAATTAAACTACTAGGCTTGTGCGAAGTAAGAGTGCGACAAGTCTCCACAACTGCGCTACTTACAAATACTAAAAAAAAAAAATTCAGAAGTTGGTTCGAGAGGCAATGAGCTCTTTTCAATGGTGAAGCCATTTGAAGATTTGTGAAAGTGTTGCTGGCCCCCCTTAAACAGATACGGCGATTCAACATTATGCCAACCTTGCGCAAATATAAATACCGCTATTATGATTGCGAGGCACTCGGATAACAATGGTCCATGTCATGTACAGAGGCATTCTTTACCTCGTGGCGTGGTTCAGGTGCACACTAAGAAGTGAAGTGTGGCATCTTGGCAAGTGAATTGGCAGGCAATGGGAGTGTTGCTCGATAATACGCTATCAAGTTCCTCTTTTGGAGGCAAAAATCAAGTGCCCAAGTCCTTTCACGATATTTCCATGGACGGCAGATATACTAGTGTAGACTACTTATAATGTAACCGCTTACAATGCGGTCTTTTTCTACTCCCGTTTACCCTTGCATAGAATCCCATGTATACGCATACATGCTTAATGTGCAGTCCCCCAAGCTGAAAGTCCGGTTATAATGCGGTTGCCGGAAAATGTGACAAACGCGGTAGCGTGTATCGCTGGGTGCGCCGCGAAGATGTCCTTACGGAGAAGGTGAGAACACGGAGTGATTGAACGAAAGGCGAAGAGAAGAAAAATAAAATAATAAATGAAAGACCGCGGGACACTGCGCGTGCCCGCCGAGTATGAGAGGAGGACGGTTGCCTCGGTGACCGATAAGCCTTTGCACCGGCGCGGACTCGGCTACAGCATACTACATCGTGGCTTCGGCCGCGCGCCAGTCAACACGTGGCAAGTGCAATCCCGTCTTCATCAACTACATGCGCTTAACAGTTTCCCTTCGGCGTCGTCGTTATCGCGCATTGCAACAAATATCGCGTTCGCTCCCTCGTCCGTAAATTGAAAACCTTTTACGGTTTTATGACTCGAGCATTCACTTTTGCCGCCAGTGCGCTGTAGTGTCGTACGTAAGCTTGGAGAGTTGTCGACCGTCGTTGCTGATCTCCCGGCCGCGAACGAACTCCGTATCACGCACGCGGTTCTTGGTTCACTGCTAGTGCGATCTTTTTGACGCCGAATCCTCACGTTTTGGACAAGCTTTCCGCGACAACATACCAAACGGCAAGTTAGGCCTAACCGGCGTAGGCTACGCTTCGATCGGTAGCGGTTGCGTGAATCTAAATTGCGGTTTGGTACCGAATTAACAAAACTCTTTGCGGTGGCCGCACTTGACGGGAAGGGATACATATTAAATGAAAACGAGGGCGGAACGTGTAGTGCTCAAATGGTGGTTCGCGATTCGATTACTAAGTCTCAAATCGGGTTCGCGCCTGTGGAATCGAATGGTTGGAGTCTTTCAACGCTTAAAATTCTGGACGTGATTCGACATAGTTTGTGTAATGCGCATAATCGAGGCGGTCTGATAGTCTGCGAATTTCCGTGATGCCTTCATTTGTTGAACACCCCCCCCCCCCCCCCTTGCATTCATTTGATTGGCAATGCGTGTCTTTGGAGGTTAAATCTTTTTAACATTCGATAATTTAAATGTTAGCAAGCACGTATCGCATGTTTCGATTCTCGGCCACGCGAAGCTGCATGCTCAACACGTTTTGCACAAGTGCGGCCCTTGAAGAAGGGTGTTTTGGTTATAGTGCGAACATTCGCGACTCCCAGGACATATGTTGTAAGCGGTCTATAGTTTTATAGAAACCAAGACTTTGTAGTAATTGAGTAAAACACAGGACCCAGTTTTATGGATGAAGAAATACTTTTATAGACATTCCCACAGAAGTACTGGCAGAAAAGTAGTACGACATGGGTCGAGTATTCCTTGGTCCTTGATACTTGGCCACCGGAATGTTGTCTTGGAAGTGGGAGACAAGATGATGGTGTGTGCACATTATATTAAACAGGATGAAACAGACAAAAAGACCACCACAGAAAGAAGAAAGAACAATGGAAAGAAACCCACGAAACATGAAGACGCGCACTAGACAAGAGAAGAAGCGAAACCAAGAGTTTGCCCATCATATGAGGAAAGGTAGGATGGCCTTGCGCTGGCGCGGGTAGTCCGAGAACTCGGCCTTGTACTGGCGGTGCTTGCCCAGGGCCCAGACCGTCATTTGGTAGAAGCCGGCCAGTGTGAACAGTCCAGCTGGGTGGAGGGTGGGAACAAAACAGTGAGCGTGCAGGTGTAGAACAGAGAAGTTGGCAAAATGCATTTGACCTCCACAAAATATTCAGCCAGAAATCAATTTGTGTATTCGAAGTCTTGTATTGATGGCCTGAATATGTATAGATTGAGCGGCAACAATTTTGCTATAACATAGGACAGCCAATGACTAGTACCAGCATTTAGCCATAACAGGGCATGTAGCTGATGTTAGCCAGAATCTAATCAGCCATAGCACATGCAAGTATGGGAGTGCCAAAAGTTTGGATAAGCTCTAATATACAGTGCAGTCCACTTATAACGATATCGAGAAAACCTAAAAATATGATCGTTATAACCGGTGATCGTTATATCTGGACTGCCGCCAAAAAATCGTCGCCGGACGTACCTTTTGTAGCTCCAGGCTTCATTTCGTTATTTTCACCAATTAATAAATATTGTAGATAGTAGGATGTCAAAAACAAGACTTTATTTCTTACTCCGAAGAACGCATCACGGGTTCGCTGAGGAAGAGAGACTGACCGACGGCGGGGTGGGAGCAGTGGGAGGAAGAAAGCACAGCCAGAGGGGTACACAGCCGGAATGCCAACGAGGCCCCGCCCCGATGCCGCCGCGCCACTTTGCTTTTCGCTTTTTTTATTTTCTCTCTCTTTTCCGCTTTCGTTCGGCAAGCTACGAGTAGCTTGCCGGCTTGCCGTTGTAGAAGGCGGGGAGCCGCGGAGCGCGGCGCTTTGCTTTTCGCTTTTTTTTTTTTTTAAATTCTCTCGGCCTCTTCGCGGTCGACGCGCGGCGAGGCGCCAAACGTGACACAGCGGGCGCCAACTCGCGATGCTCTCCTCGGCTTTTTGAACGGCCGGGACGCGCTGCCGGCGCTGTGCTGCAGTGGCGGCAGATACGTACTCGCCTACGCTAACTTTTCGTCTTGTCTCGGCATAGTTCGTTTCAGAGGAACTTATCAATCTAAATGTTACGATTATTCTGAATGAAACATGCCGTCCACGGCAAACTTTTCATCGTTGTATCCGATATGCGGTGGATAACATATCGTTATATATGGTTTTTTTCCCCATAGCCCCAATGCATAAAATGAGACTGTTAAGTCGACCCATCGTTATAACCGATATATCGTTATATGTGGTATCGTTATAAGTGAACCACTTGTAACAATCCCAGATATAGCGATTTAGCGGTTAGAACGACGATACTTAGGTGCAGCTGATTTTCCTATGCTACCGATAGTAACTGTGTGCACATTTAGCAAACAATTTTCAAAGCCTCCTACTTCAATGTTAAAACGAACACTTCCAACATGGCTGCGGTAAAAATATGGCGTATGCAAAGCTAAAGCTAAAAAAATTTTAAAAGTTAATACAGGCATTTTGCGTGTGCTCCACTGCAATTAATTCGCGATGATTGATTATATATATATATATATATATATATATATATATATATATATATATATATATATATATATATATATATATATATATATATATATATATATATATATATATATATAGATATATATATATATATATTTTTTTTCTGACGCCGTTCTTCAAACCTATGACCACTGACTACTAACCAAACAATGCCTTCGAACGCATGAAGCCATATATGCAGGAAGTGTCACCGTCAGGCTCAATGTGCCGCAAAAGGTGTTCTGTCTTTCGGAGTGACTTGTTGGTGAGTGGTAGTGATGAGTGGCGAGTGATAGCGAGTGGTAAAAAGCCGAAGGCGAGGTGGCAATGAACGTGCCATTTTGACTCTTGCCACATTCACCTGCAGATATCAACTCTGCTTCAAGTGTCTAAACCCTTCCGAGTGACTGTAGCACAAGCGCGTCGCGTTTCTGTTCGACGCCGCAGCGTCATGCAAGGCAGCTTGCACGTTGCTTGCTAACTGCATGCCTTCGTGTTTTACAGACACGCCGTTGCTGCACCAGAGCCCGATACATGGTGAAGCATGCGTGAAGAACGCACAAACATGCACATACACTAGACTGAATGGCCCGGCATGCAACGGCGAAAGCCGAGTAAGCAACCTGCTGCACACAATTAGCCAGGGACGATCTGTTGTGGTATCATTTAACCATATGGTGTAGTAGTGCAAATTTGACGGGGACGAAGAGGACAAGAAAACACGACACTCGCTACACGACACTCGTAGCGAGTGTCGTGTTTTCTTGTCCTCTTCGTCCCCGTCAAATTTGCGCTACTACACCATATGGTTAAATGATGTCTCACCAACTAGCCCAGCTATCAACCCTACTGTTGTGGTACCGCGCTCCGCTGGAACAATGCGAGCTCGGGACAAAGGTGGTTTAATTCACTCGTGAGCACACAGCGGGAGTCTCTTAACATGCACTAAGGCCTAACCTGTCACCGAAGGAAATGTTATGAATTATGCATAAAAATGCACAAATAAAAGAATGGTTTGGCCACTAAGCGCACATTTTTTTTAAGGGGAGATGCGGGTTGAACAATCACGTTTTTTGTGAAAATTTCCACTTTGGAGATATTCTTTCTAAAATCACTTTTGATCATTCAACTATCATTTCCCCAAAGGTCATAGCTGAATTCAAACAAGAAAGTGGTAAAAAGTCGATCTGCGCTAGCGAAGGTAGCTCCCGAAGTCGCGAATTCGCCCATCCGACGGCTATCTTTGAAAATCCGCCACTCGGCAACACGACGTCCGCCATCGGGGTTTGTTCGGCGACGTAGATCAAGGCTCCTTCTAGTGTACAGGCGTCTCCCTAGTTTCGTAATTTAGTGAGGAATTTCACAAAACAGTCGTTTCCAAGTCGGTTTACAGCCAAGCTGCAGCCGCTTCGAGCATCTCCATTGGCTAAATCTGATCGGCCTCGCTCGCTGAGTGCTTGCGACGATCGGCACTTGCCGTGCGTTTCTACGTTTCTTTTAGTTCACTTTGTGTAATGGAAAGTGAACTCTTGCTACATTTACACCCATATGGTGGCAACGCTATTTTCATCATCAAGCCCATCAAGCTGGTTTCTTTATGGCATTTTAGCACTGTATGTGTTCCAGTCTTAATGGGAGCGAACACATCTATAGTACCTGCAGAGCAGCTCCGAGCAACAAATTTTGCTTTTTAAAAAGGAAACTGTCAGCTGCTAGCACCAGCGTGAAACTTGCAGCTTATAAGATGATCATACGCCCAGCTCTAGAATACGCTAGCATAAATAGGGGACCCCCACATACAGTACCAAATCAATTTACTGGAATGCATTAAAAAATTGGCAGCAAGATTAATTTATTAGTCTGGTATTCGGCTGCTGACCCGCAGGTCCGTATCCCGGCTGCGGCGGCTGCATTTCAGATGGAGGCGGAAATGGTGTAGTCCCGGGGCTCAGAACCCCAGGTGGTCGAAATTTGGGGAGCCCTCTACTACGCTGTCTTTAATAATCATATGATGGTTTTGGGACGTTAAACCCCACATATCAATCAATCTAATTTATTCGTCTCATCGACACAAACAATCCGCAGCAGCCTTGCTAACAAGAGCAGGACTACAAATACGTCGCTGTAATAAGGGTTGCATACTTTTTAAGTTGAGCAAGCAAAAGATTGCCTGCTTAAAATTTCTTTGTCGACTGTGAGCCAGTAAATTTAATTTTCACTTCTCATTGTATCTGCTCCCACCTGGAACGAATTCTCGTCTCGCCAATCACTTTCATGCATTTTTGCCCTGTAACTCTCGAGTTGAGTACAATTATTCACTTGTTCATACCAAAACTGCATGGAATGGCCTTAGTCCCGAAGTATTCAGTGGTGTTGATAACTTGGCTACTTCTTCAAAATAAATAAGTGAAAAGGACTGGGCGCTTTGACTAGCTGAGGCAGTTTGGGGCAAGTGAAATCGGGGACATGTTGCCGTGGACGCCCACAGCTATAACAACACGGTAGACACGCTGTGGGAATTGAGGCTGGCCCGCTGCCTTTGCGCGGGCTTTGCCGCCTCTTTTCTCATGTCCCGACATGTCTGCCCTCCTTCGCTGTCTGCCGTGGTGGGAGAGCGGAGTGACGTTTAACTCCCTCACCCGGTAGCGGATGTTGACGGTGGCGCCGCGCGCGGGGACTCCCAAGAGAGGTTTTCGCGCGCTGCGTCGGGGGCGGTCGAGTACAGTCCGGGACTTCAAACGGTGAGCCACGCATTCTTTTCCGTCCGTCGAGTCCCGTCGCTCGGGGCTCGTCGGACTTCGCTGACGGCGCCTCGCGCCCGATGCGAACGCTCACCTTTTGTTGCCCCGCTGCGTACTCACGGCCGAAGGGCAGTAAGGTGTCCTAGTGCGTGGCCTAGCTACGCCGACCCGTCTCCCTTCGAAGCCAACGCGAGCGCCTTTGCCCTCGCTCGAGCAACCGGGCCCCTTTGTCCCGGTGTCTCCGTGGATTACCTTTACCGCGGAGACGTGCTCGTGGCACCCTGTGTAGTACTTTGTGCCCGTGGCGTGGATAAGCCTACTTGCTTTCCCGCCGCGCCTTTTTGCAACGGGCTGTACTGCGTTTGGTGTTGCCACAATAAAGTGTTGCGACTTGAGCAGTATCGTGTTTCCCGCCACGGCGACGGTTAACGCGTGCCCTGCGGCTCGCTAAGACCGGACCCACGCTGGTGGCCGTACTCCTTCGGGATACGTGTACACCACAACGCAAAATCTGCCGACACGCCGAGCTCGTCTACGCTACATTAAAGGAGGCTCAATGAAACCTGTTCTTACCGGGCAGGCACTGGGTCATGAATGTGAATGAGATCCAGGCCATGACCTCGTACGTGTAGTTGGGGCAGGAGACAAACTCGAACAGCAGGGTGAAGGGGTTGCTCGTTGGCCGCGGGATACGGCGCTCCTTGGTGCCTGAATGGGACAGGACGGCACTCGTTAAAGTGCTGGCCCCTAGAACAGCCTTTTGAAAGACAAGGACTGGAGAGTGTTTGCACTGACACACCAAATCGCAATCAAACTACTAGGCTTGTGCAAATAGCGAATTTTAGGTTCAAAGCGAATTTGAAGCGAGTAGTGGTTTTGGTTGAATAATTCCCGATCGAATTCGAATACCAGTATATGTCGCATATTATAAAGAAGAATAGACATATTTGTCATGATCTAATTAGCCTGCAAATTATGTATTTAAAAAAAAAATGGAAGTAAGGCCTGCGCGAATGCCATTTTTTTGTTCAAAGTAAGTCAAAATAACTGAATATTAGCAGAATTTAATGTTTCCCAGAATGCAAACGATAACCTACAAAATATATTATGTTTTAATATTTTTACTACACTTGGAATATATTAAACGTAAAAAAATGATGAATCGACGCTAGGGTGGAATGTTCAGTTTACTTTTGCGGGCTTTGCGACAGTGCAGATTTCCAATAAGTAGATGTTTGCACGACTAGCACCCTCCACTGCAGTGAAACCACACTTACGGTGGTTACACGTGGACCAATATACACCTATTCGTTCATTTAGATTTGAAATTTTCAATAATGTAAATTCGAATACTCTAATACACGTTCAAACATTCGAAGCATTTGAATATTGGCACAAGCCTGTAAACCGCAGTACAATAAGGTGCTACGAGGAACAGTAGATGAACAGTAGACCACCATTGAAGCAGAAGTGTGCAAATAGCACCATCAAAGTGAATCTACTACAGGTAGAATATGATCTAAGAAAACAAAATTTAACGAAGTTCTCGATCTAACCAAGAAATTTCCATTCCTTGGCCAATATGCATAGTGCTCAGTGTTGTCATCAACCCGAATCGAAAGGAAACTAAAGATAACAATAATTTTTCTATTATGTATCAGTAAATAGCTGTTCTACAATTCCATCGCCGAAACTAAAGCTACGAATTTGGGCCGAAAATTCTTGCAATCCAAATATAGCTCCTATGCAGACAAATTCTGCATAGTAACAAAACCCGGGCTATAGGGAGTTTTTACAAAATGTAGGTTTCTCGCACGCACATGACTTTTCAGAGTGTGAACAATTGTATTATAGCCAATAAAAACAAGCTCCCTGAACAAACAACCCTGCTGACCCATACAAGCTGCTATGTTTTATGCCTGTGTACTGAGGTTCATGACAATTTTGTAGTATTTTGGCACAAGTTTTCAAAAAGTGCATTTTGAATGTCGCAAGTTAACAAATTAGTTGCCATCAAAAATTTGAAGGGGCCACTGCCAATGGACGGACTGCATTTGTCTTTGAGCAGTTGAAATACTTCAAATAGTCGAAATTCCAGTGTGAATAGCGAACATTTTTAGAAAAATATGCAAAAGTTCAAATATTCGCACACCATAAGAAAAATCTCGTAAAAGCGGGCAACTGCTTTTCAGTTAGCAATCATAAGTGACCTATAGTTATATACTATAAATGCTAATTATATTTTTGAGGTGGTGGTAGTTGTTCTATTCCACACTTGTGTCATTTCCTGGCACTCGGAGTACGCGCACACTTGCATATGGGCAGAAGTATGTGCAAATACCATCGAAGATCTTACACGAGCCACAATTCACAGACTTCAGTGACCTAATCCTCGACACCAGTCTACCTTGTAATAAACCGGCGACTTAGTACAACATGACAATCTTTGTTAAGCAATCGCTTAACAATCAAGCAATCGCTTAATTGGGAAATTAAGCGATTGCTTAACAAGCAATCGCTTAATTGGGAAACGATGCTGGTTGAATAGGCAGCACCAACAAAAAGTGAACACAATGAGTGTACAATGCGCACACACTAACCGACCGCTACTGCTTGCGAATCGAACGAAAAATAGAAAACTCTCACCAGGGGGCCTGAGGTTCCTCAGAGCAAGGTGGATGCTCAGGTTGCCAAGCTCAGCAAACTAAAGGGAAAAAAAAAAGCATGTCGCCTTACAATAAAATGAACCATGCAGTGCACATCTGCATAGAAGTGTAGCATACTTCCAAAAGTTGCGTATGAAAATACAACGGTCGATAATTTCCAAGTTAAAACAGAATGAACAGTCATTAGAATGATTGTCTCCAAGCACACAAACACTTACAAGACCCCCAATGACAGACGAGTGGGCATGAGCACGCATTTAAGGAATAAATAAATTGCAGGTGATTTATGGCATATTTCAGATTACACTTTAACAAAACTTGTGGGGCTAATTGGTGATGCAAATTCTTTTTCCTTTTGAAAGATACCCAGTACTAAACATTAAACAACAGCCCACAGGTGCACGACGTACACAGCACTCGTCCCACCATGTCTTCCTGCAGGCTCAGGTACGAGGTATAGCGCTGGACATTTTCCAGCTTACAGTAGCCAATTGCAAACTTGCCTTTAAAGAGGCCCTGAAACACTTTGAGTAATCATGCAATTACTTCACTGGAAAAGTGTATTGCCTCACGAATTCAACGTCGAAAAAATTTTAAGAATCCATCCAGTACGAGCGGAGTTGCAAAGATCTGTCACACGCTCCAATCGCGTTCTCTCGTCCCAACGAAAGCGCTGGAAGCTGAACAGGGAGAGATGAAAGAGGCAAACACCTGAAGCACTTGTTTTTTTTTCTTTCAAATGTGTAACTTTTTCAGTGCGATCATGCGCACACGTTGGACAAGTGACGGCCTCCCGCGGTGATTTTTTTAACGACCGAGCGCGCCATTTTAAAATCGGCGAATGGCTGATAGATGGGCTTACTAAGGGTGATTTTTGGGCTTATCGCGCGATTTTCCAAGAGAAGAGAAAGCAATATTTAGCCGAGCGATAATTTATTGTAAATTCCAGGCCACGTGCTGCGCTACAATATTTGGCTAGCGTGTTGTCGGGGGCCTCTACCACCGATCGGCAGCATTTTCTGACCATGCTTAAGAAGTGTTGCAGGGCCCCTTTAAGCGACACTGCACGTCAAAATGAATAGCACACCAAAAGAGGGTGCGCGTTTGTTCTTTACGAACAACGCTTTTACTATCTTGCAGATCTACTCTTTTACTGCATGAGTACACGCCTCCATAAATATGCAATAGGCAACAAGTCGCAATAGGACGTGTCGCTACAGCTGATATTGCTTCGAATTCGTTTCAGCTTTGAGAGCAGTCGCAGATCACCTACCAAAAATGCGGCCAGGCCACCGTAGACCTGCACGGGTCCGAGCGCTGCACAAAAGAAAAGGTCGGGTGAGCGAAATCTGCAGAAATATCAGCTGCACAGAGGTAGCTTTTGCTTGTTGATTCACAGAACAGAGTAAATTAAGTGGACCCTACAAGTGAGGATAGAATACTATTTTTAAAGTCTAATATAATGGGCACTTATAAGTGCACGAGCAATAAGTTTGTCATAAAAACCACTAACAAAGTTGGTACGCACAGAAATACACTGAAACTTTGATACAACAAAATATTGGTTATAACGAAGTAATGTAAATATAGTTTTGCAGTTGATATAGTGTTAAAAGTGAACCTTTATAACAAATTTTTGGATATAATGAACCGATTTTGGTGTAAGATGCAACGTTATAGTGACGTTTGAGTATAGTACCGCTTCAAGATAACATGGGACTTGCACTTCAGCACGGCAAGAGCGAAACTGGTTTGGAGAGAATATGCACAACAGCCACTGTCAATTTACAGACGCTAATTTGCTTATGTGCTGATTATATATGTTGGCCTACCTACCAGTAAGAAAGAATGCCATATCATCATACACCCAATTATTAATGGCAAGCGATATTTTAGGCAACAAGAAAGGTGAATTTCTTCTAACTCATTTACAGTGGTTTTTGTGCACTGTAACTTATAAATGGATTAGGGTCAAGCATCGTTATAACAAGGTCGTATCCTAGACAGCCCGGAAAGTACCGAAATTTCCTTACCAAGGCAAGTTTTAAGAAAGTGAAGATTGTTAGTAGTGTGCAGATGTCACACGCAGATGGTATACAGTAATGTCATATGGTTTAGAAGCATATGAAAACGCCGGTTCAGTCGGTGCATGAACATTTTCTCGAGTACATCTCCCATTCCTCAAGACTTAATTTGTCATATTCCATATGCAACAAATGAATTCATCCGGTACACACATTGCAACCCACAAATAGCATGAAACTTACCGGGTGGGGTGTACAGGGGGTGGTTGATGTAGTAGCCAATGTACAGCCCAAAGAGCCAGTAGTAGGAGCAGTTCTGAGAATGAAGGATTAAGGTTGCTAAGACAAATGAATCTCTAGCTAGCACATATACTATACTATACAACACTAATATTACTTGAAACACAAATACAGATGCACAAAGAGTCTTTTGCTAGATTAACTGCATGCCACTATGGCAGTAGTGAGTTCATAAACGAGCTGTCACCTTTCCAGAAAAACAAAAAGTTTGGAAACTTTCTAGCTAACACCATTTCTGTCATTAGTAAAGAACTCTTCAGAAACAGCACCGTCGAGTGCCGAGCACCACGCCTCGGTGTCGAAGAGACCATAGCATTCTTGTACACGCGCTTTTACATTTCTTGCTGGTTAGTTTCGTCATTTCTGACGGTCTACTGCAGAGTGCACGGGGGCTCACGCATTTATAGCAATACGTTTTTGTACATTAGGCAACCCTTGAGGTCGCAACGGTTGAGCGAGCTGGCAACACAGCACTACGGCACGACTGCTGTAACCGGCAAAGCCGCATAATTTTGGCCAAACACGCGCAGAGACATTGCTCTTCGCAGTCTTTCGAAAAGGACACAGCAGGCGCTAGCAACCTTTCGGTTTAGATTTCCACACGTGGCTTGCTATTTCGAGCAGCCTGGAGAGCAGACGGAAGATTCTTACATTGCGATGAGCACATAAAACCCTACCCGTTGCCACTTTTTTTTTCATGCAGCTTGTTAATACATCGCTCAAACAGCCCATGCAAAGCAAGAGCACACTTGGTACGTTTTGCTCATACTATCAAGAGATTGGTTAATACATTACCATCCTCTTTTAAACATTATTTTCCAGCCCCATTTTAAGTTCTAGAAGCTATCTAATGATGGATTACCATCTCTCCGCAAGATGCTTCATAGAAATAAAATTACCTTGAAGAGGTTCATGATGGGCATCGTGCCGTGCGAGAAGCGATGAACGAACAGAGTCTCCAGTAGCCGCTTGACATAGTGGAGCGTCCAGCAGCCAGCTGCGATTCTAAACGGAAAAAATTCAAACCTTCAGCACGAGGGAGGACCTTCAGCAAATGCTCACAAAAAAAAACATGATGTGACCAACTGAGTAAAAGAAAAACTTGAGAGGATTCTTGAGCTTAACATTCTAGAGTAGAATGCGATGGCATAATTCGGCTCAATCCGCATCGCCTTCGCACTCACTAGCCTAACTTTGGTTCTTGGTGCATGCCTCAAATACACCGTAGGGAAACGAATGACTGCACATAACAATGGCTGTTTAAGGCTATATCCTAGAATGACTACTGCAATTTTAGTCAAGTGCCCACTACACTACAATTTTTTCTGTTCCGAAAATCAGTGCAGAGCTCATTGCGACTCCACAACGCAACACGCGAGCTTACGTAGCTCGCTAGCTTCGAGGGCAACTGCGTTCAGGCACACGATGTTACTTCGTGGTCAGCTGCACATTCAATGAATATTTCAGGCTTCTTTAGCTAGGCATTCAAATCGAACAATTTGCTGTGGCTCAATGTTTTATAGAAGCTATCGACTCCGCTCCATATAGCGCATCATGCGACTCATGCCATGGCAAAACAGCAGTCACGAGCAGTGGGTGTGGTTGATTGATATGTGGGGTTTAACGTCCCAAAACCGGTGTCGGTGTCGTACCCAATGAAGAGGCGGTGTCGTACCCAATGAAGTGATAACTGAGGGGCGACTATTGCTAGTGGGTGTGGTTTATCGACTAGTTTGAGCAATGCGACTGAACGCGGATAAAGAAGACGAGTACGCACACACAGCACTGACTTTCATCTGGAAATGCATCTCCATGCATACGTAACACAGAAATATGCTGGCATGTGAAAATGTACGAAAAATGCTGAACAATGACTCAAACATGCATGCATTCGCCGCAATCGCAACCTATTGCAACGAAACTAGAGTGGGGAGCCTAGGAAACTCAATTACATGTCGAATAGCGACAAATATGACACTCCAACACACTTAATCATTTTTGCTATTTCACAGGCTCCAATAACTTCCAGTTGAAAGTCAGCGCCGTGAGTGTGTGCACGTGCGTTCTTCTCCGTCTACATTTAGTCGCTCTGTTCAAACAGGGTGACCGACATTCTACGCAAGTGGAGAAACGACTGGGTAAAGGAAACGACAGTCAATACGAAAACTTTCGAAGGAGTACCCACTTGACGGCAACATCCATGTTGTGACGAGATGCGTACTGCCCGTAAATCCATGCTGGCCGAGAAACTGTGAGCAGGTACAGGGCCAAGGGTCCAAAGTATTCCACCAGGAACACCTGACGGGTGCGACGAACAACGTTAGCCCCCGGAAAAGGTTTTCAAGTCACTTGGCACCAAGGTTACTATTCATATTAACCAAATGGGAATGACAAAGCTAAGAAGACCTAGTTGCTTTTTTTTTTCCTCTTTACAGTTATCACCAGCCTAATTAATCAGTTACCACTACCACTGCAATCCGATTGTAAATGGTGGGAAGCTCACAAATTAATTTCAAGATGGTTCGCACAATGCAGTGTGGGTGAATGTTACTGCAATTCACTAGCACTTATGTGGCTACTCCTAACCAGTTCAAACTCAACACTTCATGCAAAATCCACTATACCGCACAATGCAAATTTCATATGCCATTTGTATGCCAACCTGTCCCACACACTTATCAAGCCCAGCATTGTCAGAATGTTGGAGAGCCGATGTCAAAGCTGAAACGCAGCTTTTGAAAGCTTAGACAATTGTACTTGTGTTGCAGGGGCAAATATCAAAGGAATGTAAAAATCGTGTCACCAGCTGGCGTGTAGACACCTCAATTAGAGTACCGACACCAGGTTTCAGCAGTCTTGGCGAGGTCAAACGCAGGGTGTGGAAAAGCACTTGCGCATGCTTTGTGTCGCATCAGTTAACTCCATTAAGTTACTAAAGCCTGCACGTTTTCTAGTTTTTCGTTGAAACCCCCAATAGATTTGCCGTCCTCGCAAACCAAACTCGCAAGCTTGACTTACCGTCTTCCAACCGATCTGTGGGCCCAGGTCCTTGAAGTACAGCCGGTCACCAGACTGAAGCCTGAGGTCTCCGAGAGTGCTCTCGTCTTTCAGTGCTTTCGACTCTGCACGCAGGAATTCGTTCCAGTCGGGCGAATGTTGTTTGCACCGCTCATCACCCCACCCACTTTAACCTGAACTAAACCATGACACAAACCAGCCCAGCCAGTGATTGAGTGGCACCAAGGCTTATTTTTATTTGACCATCCACACCACAGCTGCCCTTTTAATTGGCTTGCCATAAACAAGTCGTCCACAGCAACTCGTTGCACACTGCTGCACAGCATTGAAGCACTCTCATACAATACAATAATATGGGTCATCGGACATCATCCATTTAAGACTATATGTACTTAGCTTTTGTGGGTTTTTTCAGTGTATGTGCACATGTGAGACATGTTGACTGTGTTGATAATATCGATTTTCCTGACAGTACTTTCAGGGTGTACGGTGCTCAGGAAACTAAATGTTATAATTGCTTTCGTTTCATTGTAGAGTTCACTAAATTATGGTCTATGTTTCTTTCACTAGTGCCTTCGCTGCTCAGAATAGACTCAACGCTGCTCTGAACGCATTTTTTCCGCGATTCCAAACAACTGTACTTCACACCAGAACGACTGTAGAGCATTCGTCTCTGAAACACAAGCCTTTTAATCCGACACCACTATCTCATAGAAGAAAAATTTAAAAAGCAGTGCGTTCCTGCATATTCATCCACTATTCACTTTATCGAACACTCTCAAGACGAACAAACTTCTGATGACGAGCTTTTCGATATCGCCACGGCATAGAATAAAAATGGCAAAGGAGTGGCTTACTTGGGTCACTCTTGATGCACTGCCTGTCAGGGTAAAGCTTTGGCTCTGTAATTAAAGCATAAAAAAAGAAGGTCAATACGCACAACTGTACAGACCACACAGCTATGTAAGCACAGAGAATGTACACTGTCATTTTTTATGAAAGGGAACATGCGAGCGCATGGCCTGCGCTTTGCGGCGGCTGCCTACATGACCATCATCAACCAACAGCAAAATAAAAGACGTTTGCGTTTGGTGTCATCTATTGGCAAACAAAACGAGTTATGGCCGCTGGACAAGCGCTACAAGATACTGCATCCAGCCGTTGTAGAGAGCAGGTCACACCAATGCATGTTCCCTTTCATAAAGGACAACAGTGTACAACGCATTAAACCTTTGAAGCACTTTGTAACGAGATTTAGATGAAATGAACCTCCTGCTTAATGGGTAGGTCTTTATTATAGTTGCATTTTGCAGTGTATATTTGCATATCATCATTTTGCCGACAGCATTACCGTATGCAATGAATCGTTTCACACGCCACTTTTCGGGAATCGCGTTAAAAGCAACCTCCTTTGCTTGAAATTAATATGACCGAAAGCAAGATTGCACTCTATTTCTAGCTTGAGATTTGTTTCTGTATTCAAAAAGAAAAATGACTTCAGAGTGAATATTTAAGTACAATTAACATTAAACAGTATAAAACATGGATCAGCATACCATGAGATTATTTTTGTTACTATAATTTTTGTTACTATATTATATAATATAATAGCTTGGACTGGAGTTGGGTAAATATAACACATTTACAGGCAGTTCTCCACAAGTTCAACTGAAAAGGGTCAGGGACACGCTAAAAACCAAAAAGTTCACTTTTGTTTTGTTTCTTTTTTAGACAGAGAGCCTAGGCTACTGGATTGATACATTCAGAAAGGTATTTGAACTGGGCTCTGTTATTTTCTACAAACAAAAAGAAAGATGCCATTTTAGAACAAGCCCACCACAGCAATCTTTTCAAGAAACTTTCTGGCATATCTTCAGTGGGAAAACTGATTACAAGTGTGGAGAGTAAACACCAAAGTACCATTTGAAGATTTCCCGCCCCTTGTAAAGCTGATAACATGAATGTTCCCACCATGGGCATCAGGATCTAACCGATTGCGACGAGTTGTTGCTTTTTCAAGGTTTTTCACACATTGTAAAGCTGACAGCATGGATTTTCCCATCACGGGTATCAAGTCCCTTAGCCCACAGCACAATCTGTAAAGCTGATAACATCATTGCTTAGCTTTTGAAATGTACTCTGTCACGCGCCTTATAAACTAGATGTACAGTTTACACTACTAGATCAATGCATTGAAAATAGTTTGAACAGGGTCAGTTGATTATGTTATATACGGATATGTTATATATAGGATCACCATTTTCCCATGAGTCACTTGATACTGCTATAGTAATCATTTCGAGAAACTGTTTATCACATCTTCAGCAGAAACAGTGATTACCAATGGAGAGACCAAACACTGAAGTCCCATGTCAGAATTTCTCACAAAATGCAGAACTGATAACATCAATGTTCGCGTCATAGGTGTAGAGACCTTTGCACACATTTGGCCCCGAGAGATCACACTGACCCATCGGCTTCGATACTGCAATTTTTGTGTCGGCAGTTGCAAACCGCAACAACAACTACTGCCACGGCGAATCACTAAATAGGCTTCTGAACATTCCAATGCGCTACTCACTCAGACGGTGCAGCTGTTTCTTGACTTCCAAAATTGTTGTACTTTGGCTCAGCTGAAAAAGAAACATGGGGATCTCAAACCATTGGAAGCAGAATATACCACGAGATAATCCAGCTTGCATTAAGACAGAGGCCTAATGACAAAGAAGGCAAAATCCTTGGCACTTTCACTCACCCCGTGAAGCTTGGCAACAGGCTTGTTCGAACCGACGTTAACAATTTCGACCTGCAAGTGTGGATTGAAAGAGTTGAGAAATTACGACTACCAGGCAAGTGTACACATACAACCCCTAAGTTCGCTATTATAAAATAGCAAATGCCCGTGTAATTCCGAAATACCATTGGTTTGAAGATTGATGACAAGGCAGAACACATACAAAAACACACACACACACACAAACACACATTAGATGACCGTGGATGACACCAGATCAGAAATTTGTTGAGAACAGCTTCCGGTGACTGAGCATGCATCACTGGTCAGATAAAAAACGTATTTTCGAATAACAGTTCATGCATTTGGTTCAGTCAGTACTGCCATCTTCACCAGATGTTGTAGTGTTAATGAGCTATATGATTAGTATTCTATAAGCTGACTTGCTACTTTGTTTTGTTCTCCCTTAGGAAAGCATTTCGTTAAACTGTTAGTATTGTATAAACCTTGGTAACACAGCATCCTCATATGAAGACAAGACTTACTTCTGCAATTTCTGCACACCTTGAAGAGGTACAGCCTGAGAATGCTGATCATTACTATTGGATAAAGCACTAGTATGGGCTAAAGTAGCTTTACTTTATTATTAGTCCAAATATTTTGTTTTACAAGGTCACGTTGGTGAAAACAGTACAGTGTTTAAGAAACGGACGGTTCGGAGGCATTCAAAATAAATTACTTTATCGGAGTGCTCGCTGTCAGTGAACAACTATCGCTTGTGATAGGGTGTTGAGTTAAATCGAGTTTGTGGAGAAATATAGTGCAACTAACTGTACAATTATCATATAATTGTGAACATTTCAGTTACAATTAAATGCTGCAAAACACAATACAGACACACTTGTTAATGGTGCCATGAAACGTCTCCGGAAAATTTTCAACTACGTGTGTATTTGAAATCCTGGACATCCATTCAATACAATACCTCTCCTCATTTCATTGTCCTGGTTAATTGAATAGTTATGACAGCACATATGCCCCTTAACTCTACAGTGCACGTCACTTAAGGCGAGTTAATTAAAATCCTGTCATCGACAAAACATGGCTACACAGCGAGACTTGCCAAGCTACAGTTGAAGGTGGTTCAGAGAATAATACCGTTTTGATTGTGGTGCCGTGAAGATGCTACACGCATAAAAGGCACCAACCATCCTGATGCTAATGTCCACGAAAACGATTACATTACTATCCAAAACAACAAATCGTGCCTTCACTACGTGTGAATGCACACCATTCGATTTGTTACCCAAAGTTCTCAAATACTTGCACACCTTTACAATTACCATCTCCAGTACCTTTGCCTATGTGCCGGTTTTCATTACCATAAGATGGCACACATTAAAAGACTTGCAAACAAGTCAATCTTACTTTTTTTTCCCGATTGACGCGTGAAAAAGGAAAAAGGTTAACGAGTGTAAAGGACGGCGGTGCGGAAGTAGGAAACATGAAAATGAGCCGCTTTATTTTTCTCAATTAGCGCCGACCTCGGGAAGGCGCACGGCGCTGCACATTATGTGGCTAGGGTAAGCCTCATCTGATACGCGTTACGAAAAAAAATTAAAAAGCGGCGCCTTGGGGGCTTCTTTTTTCGCATTTCTCTCTGAAAAACCAACGCCTCCTCGACAGTACTGGCGTCCCAGCCGTAGGTTCGGAAACTGAGAGCCGTTTTCCGGCTCCGCTAGGTAATGCAGCTCACGGTTTCACAGGATCGGCGTTACATGCACCGCCAGTTTGGTTGGTTCATTCTCGCGTCTTCTTTTCCCCCTGCGGACGAACGAGGAAATAATACGAGCTCTGCTAGAGGAAAGATTACACCAGGCTAAAAAAAAAAAAAGAGAAAATTATGAAAGGGTGTAAACGCCGCCAGAGTGGTTCTCCGGCTTCTTTCCCTTTTTTTTTTTCTCTCCAAGGCGACGAGGCAGTTTTTTGTCGTGGGAAACACTCTCGCAAAACACACACACACGATACGTGCGTCACAAAAAGAAACGGAAAGTTAATTACAGCGTTCTGCTCCTTCGGAAAAAAAAAGTGAAAACCCCGGCCCGTTTGTTTGATCGGTGACACTTCAGACCAATACGAGAGCAATGAAGTGACGGCGCCGAACTGCTCCCGCTACCCCCCCCCCCCCCCCCCCCAGAAAAAAAAAATACCGAACGGTTTTGTAAGCCGCGGGGCGTGTTTTTTTTTTTTTTTACCTGCATTCTGAGCGCGGCCGGCATTTTGGAGTATCGAGAATTTAGTAGATGACGCCGATAATGGTGCCCTTGATCGCCGGCACGATACTGCGCTCGAAAAGCTACCTGTAGCCGGCGTCTAAGGTCGTATTGATATCTGTCCAGTGATCGTCGGTACGTGACAACTTCGAAGTGCTCAGATTTTGGAACTTTTCTGGCACCGCAGAGTGTGTTAATACGAATTCGAAAACGCCCTTCTGTACAATGCAGTGGGAAGTTGAATTGAGAAGCGCTGTGTCACGATATTCGCGAAGATAATCGGGCAATGCGTTAGCTGTGCAAACAGCATTGCTGACTTGACTATTCGCCGGCTTTTGTTGCGCGTGTTCTCGGGGGGAAATACAACAATAAACTGGGGAAGACTGGCGAGCGCTCACCTCCATGATTGATGGTCTTGCTACGATGATTTCGCTGACGAGAAGACGAAGGGTGAAACGATAAACGGGGGGGATGCTCTTGGAGGAAACTGGCCGCCGCGTCAAGTCAGGCTTTCGATGGAAGGAGTAGAAGCGGACGACGATCCGCCTAGCCGTCGAAGCGATGAGTGATGTGAGAGAAGCCGGCAAAGACGCTCACTGTTTGTACCGAAAATATGCAGGCGTCGCCTACGATCGTAACAAGCTATCATCATCATTAGTTTCTCGTTGTTACCTAAATTTTTTGCTTTTCTGCCAAGTTGGTGTTTTGAATTGTCACATAGACAACAGCATAGGACTAAAGAGATTTTAAAATGTCTGTGAGAGTTTAGTTATGCGTTTCTGCGTATTTACAAAGCTTCAATAAGCTCACTGTATCACGAGGCACGTAGTTTAGTAACTTTTGTACCTTCAAGAAAATACCAGAATTTTCTACTAGTGTTGTTCACAGCGCCATCATTTGTGGCAGCGGGTCTTTTGCAAACCACCACGGCTGCGTCCGGTAAAGAAAAAACCCCAAGGCCTATTGGCGCAAATTGGTACTGTCGTTTTACAGCTGTCCCCACTCCCTTAAGCGCCACGGCAGCGCGATACGTGCGTGACATGTTGCGCTGATGTTATCTGATTCACTTTCACAGCACATGCGGCGTTTGCGAGGCTCGCGTTAGCGTTAAGTAAACGTTCATGCTGCGCATGAGCACCAGCGACGGAACCGTCAGCTGACTGCTTTTAAGTAGTTTCTCCGACGGCCGCCGGAGGACGGCACTTGCTTATGTGACGTCATATGTCGGACACGACGTCACGGATAGAGTTTTCCAGACGTTTCTAGAAGCTCCCTTTCTTACGTATATACCCGTTGTCCGCGCAGTGGGCTGCAAAGAATCAGCTGTGTTGTGTGTTTCGCACGTCGATACGCTCACTTTGGATTACCGTACTCGTACGAGTACCGACCTTCATTGACCTACAAGTCTACTTACACTAACCAAAGGTATGTTAAGAGTTATTTTTCAATTTTTTGCGCATGCAAGCGTTGGGTCCTCGTCCCTTAGCGCACGGGAGCGTTTGCATGCTGTTGGCTATCTTTCGCGTGTAACTGCAGAATTACGATCAAGTTATTGACGGGTCATTTGTCAGTGGCATATTGCATTACAACTAACAAACGTAGCGCCGCATCCCGCGTTCTGGTGCCTGACTGGTAGTACGTTGCCGCAATTTCTACGACGTCTCCCGCCATTTGCATAGGCGATTTTTCTCGGGTCACCAAGCAGACTCTCTCGTGCAGACTGTATCGTTACAATTAGGGCATTTATAGAACGGCGCTACTCGTTTTTCCTTGCATTGCGATTACAGAAGTAATAGAATTTGGTTCGCTCGAGTCTCTTAGCAGTTTTCTAGCTTGCGTCCGCCTCGCCTTTGGAACGATCATCGTACAGGTGCCGAATAATTCCAATTGCGCTTATCCTAACACCCTCTGAAAGCTAAATGTCTTGATCGTTCGCAAGCAGCTGTACCTGCGCTAGTTCGACGGGCTGCAAACAGCTGCTACCACAGCGTCGCTCCAAGACGGCCGACCGAGCCTGTTTCGTGGCGTCTGCCCTCCTTGACATTGAAGCGCTGCTTTCGTGGACACCTTCCTTTCGGTTAGTCGATTCATTCGTCTCGTCTATCGGCGCAAACAGAATACTGTCTGAGGAGCTAAAGCCTCGTCGCGTGTTCGTGTCGTCTCCGGTGCTGCGCTTATCGCGGCCGTTCCAAGCCAGCAAAGCGAGTTTTCCAGAAAGTTCGGCTGGGCCGCCTGCGCGGCTATCGTTGACGAGTGGTCGCCCCTTTCTTTGTCGTTTTTTTATTTTTATTGTGCGAAAGGAAGTTCTGGGTGCTTGCGAAACTCTGGCAGCCATTTGGCTCTGGCATGCGGCACGTTGCCTCAAGAACGGGCCGCTTGCCCGGTCAGCGCGTTCGGTCGCGGGTGTGACCCCTTCGTCGAATATTCTGGGCGCCGCCCTAGCTTGGTTCTTTATCCGTCAGGGTTACTTCGAACTCCGGAATAGCATGTAGGTCAGCAGAGATTTCGCTTTTTTTTTTTTCGTAGTTCGCCGCAGTGTTTCCCGATTATCGTAGTGACCTACATAAGCAGTATTCAGGTAAACGGATAACTACCAGCGCAGTTCTGCTCGATCCGAACTTCTGTGATTATTTCGCCGCATTTCAAGAGAAAGGGTTGATTGCTTGACTCCTGTGTTATTAAGCAGGTTAGTTGTAGCTCGCGGGTGAGGGGCGTTTGTTTCGCATACGGAGTGTCAATTTATGCGGTGGTTAGCACTGCACGCAACTTCACTACAAGTTAGCGCGTACCAAAGCGCAAGTGTTAACTGCGGGATCAGGTTTGCACAAGGCTGGCGTGCGGAGTGGGTCTTCAGGCAGTGTCAAAATAGCGTACCTAGAAATAGCGTACTCCTGCAGGCGCTTAACGGGAGCCAAACCCAATGCTTTGTGTGCCCTATTTCAAAACTATTCCATGCTATACGTCCTCCGGAGATGCTGTACGCTCAACCTCGCTTCCGTTTTCCTGTTGCAGTAGACCATGGGTAAAGATTACTACAAGATCCTCGGCATCAGCAAGAGTGCCAACGAGGACGACATCAAGAAGGCTTACCGGAAGCTCGCCCTCAAATACCATCCGGATAAGAACAAGACTCCCGAAGCGGAGGAGAAGTTTAAGGAGGTCGCCGAGGCGTACGAAGTCTTGAGCGACAAGAAGAAGCGAGACGTCTACGACCGCTTCGGCGAGGAAGGCCTCAAGGGCAGCGCTGGTGGAGGCGGCGGAGGAGGACCCAACATGCCCGGGGGTCAGTCCTTCACCTACACCTTCCACGGAGACCCGCGCGCTACTTTCGCCCAGTTCTTCGGCACGGACAACCCGTTCGAAAGTTTCTTCGGGTTCGGGGGTGGACCTGGAGGGCCTGGCGGCATCAACATGTTCTTCGGAGGTCCAGGAGGCGGAGAAGACATGGACTTGGACGGTGACCCCTTCGGGGTCCCCCTGGGCGGAGGAGGCGGCAGACCGGGCGCGAATCCGTTCCGGTCCCAGAGCTTCACCGCGGGCGCGAGACCGGGCAGTGGCGGAAAGGCTCAGGGCAGGCAAGACCCCGCCATCGAGCACGACCTGCACGTCACGCTCGAGGAGGTTCTCCGCGGCTGCACGAAAAAGATGAAGATAAGTCGGAAAGTTGTGGGACCGGACGGACGCACTCCGAAGCGCGAGGAGAAGGTGCTCAGCATCAGCGTGAAACCGGGCTGGAAGGCCGGCACCAAGATCACCTTTCAGAAGGAGGGCGACCAGCTGCCGGGCACCATACCGGCCGACATCGTGTTCATCATCCGCGACAAGCCCCATCCGCAGTTCAAGAGGGAAGGTGCCGACATTCGCTACACTGCCAGGGTCACGCTCAAGCAGGTAGGTTGTCTACTTCTCTGCTCTTTCTTGTCGAGAATGCACCTTCTGTCAGAGTTGCATTATGTGCTGTCGGGATCCACCTTGGTGTGTGTACACCTTCGTAGTGTGTAGCCCTGCCAGGCAGCTGTAGTTTAGTAAGGGTGAACTGTATGATGGTAACTGTTTGTAGATTTGGGTGTTCAATTTAAAATTGTTTTCCAGGGTAATCGAAACTGATCCGCTATATCGTAACCATATTGTTGATGTAAAGCCCCGGATATTTATTCTTATTCAGAGATTGGGGCAGCAGGAGTGTGGAACTCAGTGTAGCTATAACCTGTAGCTATAGCTCTTCAAAGCCGAACAGGCATTTTTGTTGCAATTGCATGCCAACTTGTCATCTTGATTTGCCCTCGTGCTCAACACTAGCTGAGCCACTTTAATTGCAGGGTCCTATGAGGGACAGTTTATGTTAGTACACCATAGTTGATGAAATACCGCTCGGGTGATGTGTACGATTCCTTCATTGCATATAGGTTACCTTTTCATGTGTTTACATTGCACTGTCTTAGTTTCCATAGCTTGTCCTCGAAATAAGTGAGCTTAGTTAGTCGAGAAGGCTGATTGCACTATCACTTTCTCGTGTGTGTATGTAAACACTGTTTGTCAGTGACAGCAATACTAAATGCAGTATTCGCATTCTATTTCAGGCTTTGTGTGGAGTGACGATAGAAGTGCCAACACTGACTAAGGGCAAGATATCCCTTCCAGTCAAGGACATCATCAAGCCCACTACGGTCAAGCGGTTCCCGGGGCAGGGCCTGCCGTACCCGAAAGATCCAACAAAGCGGGGAGACCTCCTCGTAGCCTTTGACATTCAGTTCCCCGAACACTTGTCCGAAAGTGCACGGCAAATACTCTGGGACACATTGCCTCCTCATGTCTGAAACTTCTGACAGGGAAGAGGACTTCGTTATTTTGTGAAAATGCGAAAGCCCGCCCTGGGGGGGGGGGACACTGACATCTTGTGGGTAGACTCCACAGTGTGCAACGACTGGACTGGAACAAATTCTTTTCCTGCTTTGAAGTTTTTTGTTCTTCAAGAGAGGCCCTCCCTTCCCAGCATGGACGGAATGGTTTTCTACCAGGGTGGATGTAGCGAACAGGCTGGCGCTGCCCTTGAAGAGCAGCTCTCGCAGTGTCACCTTGGTTACTGGGCGGGTGCCTTGTGCGTAGTCGGGAGAAGACAGCTGTTGGGGTCGAAAGTGTCTGTGCAGCAAGGCCTTACAAGAACTGCAATTTGGGCGAGTTTGGGAGAACTCTCAAGTGAGGAAGTTGCGCGTAAAACGAAGGACACAAGATGGAACTGGAAGACTGGTCATCTGGTGTTCTTATGCCCTCCTCGTGTACCCGGCTTCTGCACTGCATGTTCACTTCTGAACAGCAAGCTTATTGTCTTGTGGATGCTGCTGCCTCATTGCATCCATAAGATCTCTTGTCCTCATACTTTTTTTTTTCTTCTCGTAAGGTTGGCAGATGTGGCAACTCCTGGTGCATCTGCTCAGTCCCCCGATGAAGTTTCAGAGTGCCGCCGTCAATCTGCCCTTGTACATAATGTAAATAGTTAGCACGTACGTTCTTTTTGTTTTTATTTCAATGTGCATAGGCATGGGCGCCCATGCATGTCTGTGCCACTCTGGTGTTGCTTTGTACAGAGTACTTTGTCGGCTGTAAATAAACACTTTGCTATGTTCTGATCTGTGTACTCTGCTTTTATGCACATGGATAAGAATAATTGCTTCTTGATTGACAATCGCACAAATATGAACGCTGAACCTTGAGCAATATTGGTGGGCGCTGCAGATGGGGTCAGCCGTTTAGAATACAGTTTGGTCACTTTAATGCTGTTTGGGGTACCGTTAAGAATGGACAAACAGACAAATGTACAGACAGACCAAATTTTTTGCGTGGTAGGTCTTCAGGAAAGACTATATTCTTTAAAAGTGTAAGGCTGCTTTTTTTGTGTGAGATTGCTCAACCCATTTCGTACCACCCATAAGTGTGGGACTAGGCGTTTAGCAAGGCCTATAAACTACCAGTGCCGCAAGTCGGGGGGGGGGGGGGGAGAGGGGGGGAGTGGAGGTCCTGATATTTGATGTGTTCAGGCTAAGATAGCAAACACAAGCCCCCTCGGGACTTTACTTTGATAATGCTAAATTGAAGTGCTTGACAGTAAAGTGCGCACGCCGCAAAACAAACTGGATCCTGAAGTCTTGAATGAACTGCAACTAGGTTCAAAAGTGAAAGGTACTTTTCGTTTCTAATTGTTCTAATTGCTGCAGGTTGCTTCTGGCGTGCCGCCAGTGTTTATTGTGGTGGGCTTCATGCAACGATTTGTGGTGCCCTAGGGTAAAGGGTTAAAAAATAATCGAAGAATTCTCGATTTGTTAGTAGTGTCAGCGGCTTGTTCCTCGCTGTGCATGAATCGCACAAGTGCGGGTGCAGCGTTAAGTAGATTCGTAAAATCGAAAGCGTAATGTAAGATTTCATCTAATGAGAAGCTGAATTAGTGGTAAATGGACGGCATGTAGTCCAAGTAGGCACTCGTGGTACCCACTTCGAGAACCCTACGCATAGGTGTGTGTGCAGCTACTTGGCTGTGCAGAAGTGATACCTCCTCATTCACTCGTATTGAGAACAGAAGGATGGCACTACAAAGTATGTCCCAATGTGGTCCTGAAAAGTTGTTGACAATTCAGGTAAACAAGACATTGCTAAAATTCCTAAGTACAACAGACTTGCACGGGCGGCTGTAGACAATGACGCAGTGTACCTGCAGACTGGTGGTGGTGGTAGTGGTTAGAAGAGGAGAAAAGCACCTAATTCTGCTCTGTGCTCGTACGTGTGTGCACCCTCTCTCTTTCCTTACCTTTTAATCTCTTATCCCTTTCCCCTGCGAAGTAAAGCATACCAGCTAAGCCAAACTCGTTGACATCTCTGCATTCCAAGAACCGTGTGCGCCCTATATCTTGTCGCCGATGCCTCACCGCAATACACATCTATGCTGCGGTGGAGCCAGCGTGTGACATGTCATGTGAACAGCTTGAGTCGTGGCTGCTCTATCCGACTGCTGGCATCTAATCTTTGTTTGTATCGCAGCGGCATTTCATTTTTACGCATCAATAACAATATACACAGAGACGTTGACTTGTTACTGTGCTGCTGCAATCCAAATCCAAGACAGGGTGGGCCATTGCTTCTTAATTGTGGGGTCCCGCCATTTTCTTCGTCCCCATCGGCTCGACGCTGCCCCGACATCGTTCACGTATACGTCTTACGCTAGTAAATATTCTGCAGTGCAGTGGAAAATCATACGAGAGCGGTGGTTGATTGATATTAATACGTACCCATTTTATTCACGCAAGGGGGGGGGGGGGTCTTTGCAAGTGTTTCTTACCTGAGAGATATAGCTTTCGAACGTCATATTTGACTCGTAACGTAGCCAACATTTTTTATTTGTGGGGAAGGGGGGTGACTATACTTTATGTGCAGGGGAGGGGAGGGGGGTCAAAAGTTCCTAGGCCACACTCTCATAGGAATGCATGGAATAGTGGCCCGCATAGAGTTTCATATTTTTGTATGAAACTCTATCGTGGCCAAAGAACTTTTGATTCCCCCACCCCCTACTGTATATATGTACCTGTGCAGGCGAATTTGAAAAAAACAAAAATTCTCGCGGCCCATGGAACCCCCTCCCGACTGGCTTACCAGTTGCATACACCGGACCCCTCCCCCCGTTTTTTTTTTTTTTTCATGCGGATCACTTTTGTCGCACGGTGTCACGCGTCGATGTCCACGAGCCCACTGCGCATGCTCGCGTATCGTGCCTCATGCTTGCATCTCGTGCCAACTGTTTGCTCTCACCTCGCAAAGGCGACGCAAGCAGCGTCTGCTAGTAAAAACTGGCTGCGCGAGATGAACAACAGTTCACCGGCCATTGGTTCGCCCGTCAGCGTCTGTGATGCGATGGTGATGCGACTGGTGCGCGTAATTGTGAATGATTGAAAAGTGCGCGAAATTAAAGGATGACCGAGTGCACGTGCTGGGTCGCCTGAACAACGACGACGCCGAGGACCGGTACACGTGAGAGCGTGGAGCGCAAGCATCCAAGACCATAAAGCAAACAAGGGCCAATGGCTGATCACCACGGAGTTTTGAAAGGCCAATCGGGACGAGACAAGTGTGCCCCAGAGGAAGCCAATCCTGAAGGGCAAAAGAGCTAGGAGTTCGAGGTGAACGAGGCAAGAGGAAGGTCACAGCTGGGAGCTGAAGACAGGCAGTCGGGTGGCAGACCTGAGCCTTCTGGACTTCACCCGGTCTGGACCTCCGGACAACGCCTTCCAAGGACGGCGAGCTGCCTCAACGGTCGAGACCAAGGCCTGCAGATTCCGGTGCGGGTGCAGCAACGGCAGTTCGGGTCACGGGCCTGAGCCTTGCAACCAGCCACCTCATCGGGCGAATCTGGGCCGCCACAGGCATCACCGAGCGAGTCCCATTCCATCGTCGCCGCCAGCGAGCATCGGTACACGCCGTCGCCACCATTACAGCAGCAACGTTTTGGTGAGATCGAACTTGCTCTCTTCCCTGCACCGCCGAATCACCGCGTCAGAACTGCATCATGTAGCTGTGACTTTCCGTCGGCAGTTTCGGGACTTTAGATGTTTGTTTTCCTTCTAAAACCCGCTTTTAGCCAGCTACTCATTTCTTGTAGTTTGTGTTTGAGTTTTGCTTCAGTTCTGCAGTAAATGTTTAGGTGTTGTTTGTTAAGCAAACGGCTTTGTCCTTATTAGAAAAACTCTCCGGGGCTCAACCAGGAGAAACAAATCAGCAACAAGAACCCGCATCACAAACTGGCGTCCGCAGCGACAGGACAAAGCCGTTGGTTTGACACCTTCATTTATTGACGCGGTTGACATCATGTCGAATATGCGAGAGCTAATGGCCTTGGCGGATCGCATGGGAATTGATGGGGCGGATTTTAAAGCATGGTACGAGGAGAAGGAGGCACGAGCACGAGAGGAACGGGCTGCGGAACGAGAAGCTCGAAAGGAACAGTTGGAACGGGAGACGCAGGCCAAGAAGGAGCAGCTTGAGCTCGAGACGCGCGAAAAAGAAAAACAGCTCGAACTGGAGACACGCGCAAAGAAGGAGCAGCTGGAATTAGAGAACCAAAACCTGCAACTGCGTCTTAGACTTGCCGAAGCTGAGAATAGCCGTGTAGAGACAAGAACTGTTGACTCAGCACCAGGCTCAGCACAAGAAAGGAGTGTTTCATGCAGCGTGAATCCTCATAAGTTGATACCGGGATTTAATGAAAGCCGGGACGACTTGGACGCCTATTTAAAAAGGTTAGAGAGAGTCGCCATCGGTCAAGAATGGCCTAGGGACAAATGGGCCACAGCTTTAAGTTTATGTTTGAGCGGAGAAGCCTTAAAGGTGTTTGGAAGACTTTCGCCGGAGGATTCACTCGATTATGATAAAGCCAAGTTGGCGTTGCTCCAGCGTTTCCGTTTTACGGCCGAAGGGTATCGGGAAAAGTTCCGACAAAGCAAGCCACAGGACGGCGAAACAGGCAAGCAGTACGCAACTAGGCTACTGAGTTTTTTCGATCGTTGGGTCGAAATGTCGAGGACCGGAAAAGAATATTCGGCTCTTCGTAACTTGATAGTTACCGAACAGTTCTTAAGAAACTGTCATCACCGTTTGGCACTTTTCCTGCGAGAAAAGAACTTCAACAAGCTAGAGGACATGGCCGAGGCCTCAGATAACTTTTTAGAAGCTCAGAGGCAAGTCAACCTGTTAGTTTTCCGAGAAAAAGTGGAATCTAAAAGCAATACGGAAAAAAGTGGTAGTTACTCGGAGAGAGGAGCAGTACGTTGTTTTGTATGTGGCAAAATGGGTCACAGGGCATCGGAGTGCCGATCAAGGTCAAAACAACCTTTCTGTGGATATTGTCAGAAGGCGGGGCATGATTCCAAAACTTGCTCAAAGAAGAACGGTTCAGCCAACAAGACGTCATGTCTTTTGTCGCCAGAGGAGCACTCAACGGAAGTGAAGCTTTCACCGGACAAAGAAGAGGACATGGCGGGCGCCGTGAATACTCACCCGAAGTTTGCCACACACAAAATGCCCGTGTTACAGGGCCGAATCTTTGGCCGAACCGTCTCAGTGTTGCGGGATACGGGTAGCAATACACTGGTGGTGCGTCGTTCTCTGGTACCCGATGAAGCCCTCATAGGTACTACCGCTACGCTATTCTTAGCCGATGGCAGTAGCATCATCGTTCCTGAGGCGGAGGTGGAAATTCATTCACCTTATTTTTCTGGTACATCTATTGTCAAATGCATGACAAACCCACTCTACGACCTTATCGTCGGAAATGTACCAGGTTCACGTGAAGTCCATGACCCCGATACCAAGTGGGAGGAAAGGATTCCGGTAAAAACCTACCCCAACTATATAGCGAGTGGAAAAGGAGCAGATAGAGAGGATGGTACCCTGAAGTCTTCAGTGGTTGGTATCAAAATCCGAGAGCAACGGTCAATCTCATCTGAAATCGATGTACCCACCTTGAAGACGACCCGAAAGGATCTTAGTGCCGCTCAAAAACAGGACAAGACCCTAGATTCTTGCAGGAGTAAAGTAGGTCAAGGGCTACAGGGAGGATCAAAGTCCTATTCGTTCGAGATAGAAAAGG